ATGATATGAAGCAAAATTTGCCCTATAATTTAGTGTTTGAATCTGTATCAGTCATATACTCTACAATGGATTTTTTCATTAAATTTAAACAGTGATATATGATGTTTTAGCTTTGGTTTTAAAATAGATGTGTCTATGTACATTTAAGGGGAGTCTGATTTCAAATTGTACACTAAAAATACATTTTTGTTTTAATATGAGTCATATTGATCTCAAAATCAGAAATTTCTTCAAAAAGCAGTCAGGTGGAACATTTTTCCAAATTTCTAACCTCTCAATACCATATAGAGGATCAAGTCATGAGACTTGCGTTCAATTGGCCATCTTTGAAATTGATTCAGTGTGTGACCATACGCAAATCACTTAATCTCTCTCAGATTTCCCATCTTTAAAATGGAGATATTATTTCACCCCTCTTTAAAGTGCTGTGAGATAAGTGGAGGAAATGCACTATAGAAGGACTAAGTATCAGTACAACATGAACTTTTCATACATTTTCTGGCAGTGCATATTATTATACCTAAGATAGGAAATTGAGTTATGTACAGAAAAGTACCCTGATGTATCTGAAGGTGTTTAGATTCATAGATATAGATATTAAGGTCAGAAGGGACGATTATGATCATCTAGTCTAACCTCCTGGACAACACAGGCCACAGAATCTCACCCACCCACCCACTCCTGCGAAAAACCTCTCACCTATGTCTGAGCTATTCAAGTCCTCAAATCGTGGTTTAAAGACTTCAAGGAGCAGAGAATCCTCCAGCAAGTGACCCGTGCCCCATGCTACAGAGGAAGGCGAAAAACCTCCAGGGCCTCTTCCAATCTGCCCTGGAGGAAAATTCCTTCCCGACCCCAAATATGGCGATAAGCTAAACCCTGAGCATGTGGGCAAGATTCAACAGCCAGATACCCAGGAAAGAATTTTCTGTAGTAACTCAGATCCCACCCCATCTAGCATCCCATCACAGGCCACTGGGCCTATTTACCATGAATAGTTAAAGGTCAATTAATTGCCAAAATCATGTTATCCTATCATACCATCTCCTCCATAAACTTATAGAGTCTAATCTTGAAGCCAGATATGTCTTTTGACCCCACTGCTTCCCTTGGAAGGCTATTCCAAAACTTCACTCCTCTGATGGTTAGAAACCTTCATCTAATTTCAAGTCTAAACTTCCCAATGACCAGTTTATATCCAATTGTTCTTGTGTCCACACTGGTACTGAGCTTAAATAATTCCTCTCCCTCCCTAGTATTTATCCCTCTGATATATTTATAGAGAGCAATCATATCTTCCCTCAACCTTCTTTTGGTTAGGCTAAACAAGCCAAGCTCCTTGAGTCTCCTTTCATAAGACAGGTTTTCCATTCCTCGGATCATCCTAGTAGCCCTTCTCTGTACCTGTTTCAGTTTGAATTCATCCTTCTTAAACATGGGAGACCAGAACTGCACACAGCATTCCAGATGAGATCTCACCAGTGCCTTGTATAACGGTAGTGAAACCTCCTTATCTCTTCTGGAAATACCTCCCCTGATGCATCCCAAGACCGCATTAGCTTTTTTCACAGCCATATCACATTGGCGGCTCTGTGATCTACCAATACTCCAAGGTCCTTCTCCTCCTCCGTTACTTCTAATTGATGTGTCCCCAGCTTATAACTAAAATTATTGTTATTAATCCCTAAATGCATAACCTTACACTTCTCACTATTAAATTTCATCCTATTACTATTACTCCAGTTTACAAAGTCATCCAAATCTTCCTGTATGATATCCCGGTCTCTCTAAATTGGCAATATGTCCCACCTTTGTATCAAACTTTATTAGCACACACCCACTTTTTGTGCCTAAGTCAGTAATAAAAAGATTAAATAAGATTGGTCCCAAAACTGATCCCTGGGGAACTCCACTGGTAACCTCCCTCCAGCCTGACAGTTCACCTTTCACTATGACATGCTGTAGTCTCCCTGTTAACCAATTCCTTATCCACCTTTCAATTTTCATATTGATCCCCATTTTTTCCAATTTAACTAATAATTCCCCATGTGGCATGGTATCAAACGCCTTACTGAAATCTAGGTAAATTAGATCCACTGCATTTCCTTTGTCTAAAAAATCTGTTACTTTCTCAAGGAAGGAGATCAGGTTGGTTTGGCAGATCTACCTTTTGTAAAACCATGTTGTATTTTGTCCCATTTACCATTGACCTCAATGTCCTTAACTACTTTCTCCTCCAATTTTTTTTCTAAGACCTTGCATACTACAGATGTCAAACTAACAGGCCTGTAGTTACCCGGATCACTTTTTTTTCCTTTCTTAAAAATAGGAACTATGTTAGCAATTCTCCAGTCATACAGTACAACCCCTGAGTTTACAGATTCATTAAAAATTCTTGCTAATGGGCTTGCAATTTCATGTGCCAATTCCTTTAATATTCTTGGATGAAGATTATCTGGGCCACCCAATTTAGTCCCATTAAGCTGTTCGAGTTTCGCCTCTACCTGAGACATGGTAATATCTACCTCCATATCCTCATTCCCATTTGTCATGCTGCCATTATCCCTAAGATCCTCATTAGCCTTATTAAAGACTGAGGCAAAGTATTTGTTTAGATATTGGGCTATGCCTAGATTATCCTTGACTTCTTTCTTTGTTTTCTTCTTATTTATATGGCTATAGAACCTTTCACTATTGGTTTTAATTCCCTTTGCAAGGTCCAACTCTACTTGGCTTTTAGCCTCTCTCACTTTATCCCTACATGTTCTGACCTTAATAAGGTAGCTTTCCTCGCTGATCCCTCCCATCTTCCACTCCCTGTATGCTTTCTGTTTTTTCTTAATCACCTCTCTGAGATGCTTGCTCGTCCAGCTTGGTCTACAACTCCTGCCTATGAGTTTTTTCCCCTTTCTTGGGATGCAGGCTTCCGATAGCTTCTGCAGCTTTGACTTAAAGTAATCCCAGGCCTCTTCTGCCTTTAGATCCATAACTTCTTCAGTTCAATCCACTTCCCTAACTAATTTCCTTAATTTTTGAAAGTCAGCCCTTTTGAAATCAAAAACCCTAGTTGCAGATTTATTTTTGTTAATCCTTCCGTTCAGTTTGAACTGAATTAGCTCATGATCACTTGAGCCAAGATTGTCCCCTACAACCATTTCTTCTATGAGGTCCTCACTACTCACCAAAACCAAATCTAAAATGGCATCCCCTCTTGTCGGTTCAGCAACTACTTGATGAAGGAATCCATCAGCTATCACATCTAGGAAAATCTGAGCCCTATTATTATTACTAGCACTAGTCCTCCAGTCTATATCTGGGAAGTTAAAGTCTCCCATGATTACGCAGGTTTCCGAGTAGTAGCCATGTTAGTCTGTATCCTCAAAAAGAAAAGGAGGACTTGTGGCACCTTAGAGACTAACAAATCATGCAGTTTCCATTAGTATTTACTTCATTAAAAACATTAGAGGGCTCTATCCATGTCCAAATTAGATCCCGGTGGTCTATAGCACACCCCAAGCACTATCCCAGGGGAGGCTCTAGTAGTTTTCTTCCCTAGTGTAATTTTGCCCAGACGGACTCTGTCTTATCCATTTCATCGCTTCTCATTTCTTTACATTCTACCTCATCATTGATATACAATGCTACTCCACCACCTTTACCTTTATTTCTGTCTCTCCTAAACAGCACATACCCTTCAATACCCGTAGTCCAGTCATGACTACTATTCCACCATGTTTCTGTTATCCCTACAATATCTGGTTTCACTTCCTGCACCACTAGCTCTAGTTCCTCCATTTTGTTACCGAGGCTCCTCGCATTAGTGTACAAACATCTTAATTTTTGCTGTTTGGCCTCACTCACATTCTGTACCTGATTAGGGATGGTCATTCTACAGCCAGTATAACCTATTAGACTGGTATGCACATTTCCCTTCCTCCTTATATCCATTCTCCTACCCACGGCTGTATCCTTTCTTACTTCGTTTTCTTCCCTCTCAATGCTAAAATCCGGCGTGGAGATTATCTGAACATCTCCCAACCATCTCCCCCAAATTCCTAGTTTAAAGCTCTCTTAATCAGTTGTGCCAGCCTCCATCTTAGAAGTCTATTTCCTTCCCTACTCAGATGAAGTCCATCCTGAGAGAACTGTCGTCTGTCCATGAATGCCTCCCAGTGGCCATACATCCCAAAGCCCTCCTTATAGCACCACTGCCTAAGCCATCTGTTGATAGTCATAATCTTGTCACACCTTTGTTGCCCTTCTCTAGGAACAGGCAGAATCCCACTGAAGATCACCTGAGCCTCAATTTTCTTAAGCATCTTCCCCAGCCTAGCATAGTCTCCCTTAATACTTTCCAGCGAGAATCTAGCTGTATCATTTGTTCCCACATGAAGGATAATTAGAGGATTCTTTCCTGCTCCCTTTAGGATCCTTTTCAACCTCAGATCTACATCCCGTATCTTAGCACCTGGAAAACAGCATACCCTTCTATTCTCTGGATCAGCTCTGGTTACAGGCCTGTCTGTTCTTCTCAGTAAAGAGTCCCCGATCACATAGGTTGGTTAAAGGGACATGAATTATTGTACTCTTAGAGTGAATACATTGGTTCCACATATCACCTTTTGTACTCATGATACCCCAAGGCATTTTACAAAGTACTGAGTTTAGGCCGAATACTTCAGCTTTTGCTGAGGCACAACTCCTCTTGGTATTAGTAAAAGGTGTACCACAAGACCAGAGCCATAGTTACTGAGAACGACTATGTGGCGAAACTCAGAAACAGCTGACATTCAGAAAATACATGAAAATAGCTGACTTAAAACTTTGGTTCAATATACTTCTAGGCATAAAGCTATCATTAACTGTTAGAAATACAAGTTCATAACAAGAATTTATGCTGTAAGAATTGTGCACACTTGGATTGCTGTCACAGATGACATGGTGGCTTAAATAGAAATATATAACATTTGATAGTTTTTGCTTTCTCCATTTGCTTTTAGGATGGATGATGCTGAGGCCTGTTTCATTCTGAGTAGCCGGTGCGAAGTGGACAGGCCAGCAGCGGTAAGTTCTTTAGAAATTCTTCTAAAAATCACGTGTATGCTGTTCACACTGTTATTACTATTATGAGCTCTGTGCAGAAGTATGCGTCCACCCTTTTGGATCTGACAGAAAGATGCGGGGGACAGGGGGATGAGGGGCGCGCTTATTCTCGTAGGACCTTATTCTTTGTAAACTACTATTTGTATTATCATAGCAGACTGGAGCTCCAGTTAGGGAGCAGGACCTCGTTGTAATAGGTGTTGCACAAACATGAAACAAAAAGAATCCCCTGCCCCAAAGAGATTAGAGTCTAAGAAAACTAAGGATAAATGTTATAACTGTCCAATTTACACATACATCTTAGACATAAATGGTGAAATCCTGGCCACTTTAAAGTCAATTGCAATAGATTTCAATGGAGACAGGATTGCACTTGTTTATAACACAGAATTTAATAGTACATCTCACATACAATTTTTTGTAAATTACTGCTTCCTTAGTAAGAAAAGTTGTACAAACAAGAGGTAAGGTCAGATTTATACAAGAAAATTAGAGAGATTTAAAATCTTGGTATGTAAACATAAAACTCATTTTTCATTCAGTGCAAAATATATTGTTGTGATTTTTTTATTTTGTGTCAGAGGGGTAATATAAAGTACAAAAATATGAAATATACTGATTCTTTATAATTATATAGGCAAAAAAATCAGTAAATATTCACAGGAGTAGCTTCTAGTCATGCAGAACATCTTATTGAAGTCAATGGGACTATTTGCAATGTTTGGGCTAGAAACACAATTCTAAGAGTTATATTAATCCAGTTAGGAAACAGACATATGGTGTTACTTATGCTTCCACTCAAAAATCAGGTGCCCACTGTGAACTGCTTCCAAACAGCTACAGACTAAGAATTATGTATAGAAATTATGTGATTAATTTTTAATAACTATTGAATTTGACAAAAAGTGGTCAATTCACAAATAAGAGAGGCTGGATTCTTTGAATAAATCATTCATTATTATTTGTCTGGTAACAACTGTTAATAATGGGAAGTACACATCCATAAAGGGAGACCACTGATAATTTAAACAGATCCAGATTCGCACAAATCTTTTGATAAAATTAAAAACATTTCCATAAGAGCTAGAGTGCACTGGAGTAGCGTTCTGCCCTGTTGCTTTGAAAGACCCACTGGAAAACTCCACTAATAGAAGTAAGTTTTATGATCACATCTTACTTACTTCCCCCACACCTCCATCCCAAAGTACAATACAGTTAGTAGTCTTTGCTCAAGAGGGTCACAGGCTTCCCGCCACACACACACCTCCATCTCAAATTACAATACAGTTAGTAATTTTTGCTCAAAAGGGTCTCAGGCTGCAGAGGATGGTTCCCTTAGGTTTAAGCATTTGTGGAGTTAAATTAGGAATCTTACATATTACCAGAGGAAATCAAGACAGTTTTTGTAATTTGCTAGTGCACATGGTTATAATTTTCAGTAATTTCAATTAAACTTATATCTTCCCCACCTTTTTTTTTTAAAATCCTTTTTATATAGAGATGTATAAACAAAGAAACGTGCCTAGAGATGTAAAATCTAAGAATTTTAGCTGGACTTGACCCAGACTGTAATATTGTATAATCTACTTCTCAGGCTACTGATCTCATTCTAGGCAATAAAAAGTGGTGCTTAATTTTCCATCCTTCATGTTTAACACAGAAAATGTGAAGGTTCTGCATAAAGCTATACAGTATATTTGATAAATAAATAAGTCTATAATCCAATCATCATAACCATTATCTCAGCCTTCCAATCCCAGTTACTCCCCACCTTAAACATGCCTCTTTTCAGGCAGTGTTATCAGGGACAGAGCAGCAGCACCAGAGAAGGCAGGACAACGGAACCAATAAAGCTGTAGGTCAGAAGAAGAAAAGATGATCCCCTAGAGTGGAATATATGCTCCCTTAGCTGCAGATTTTAGTGGGCCAATTGTTCATTTGTATTAAGACACCTTAGATGGTGTTTGAATATGCCACAAAAGTTATGTTAATTCAAAGCAAATCAAAGGGTCAGACTCTCAGCTGGTGTAAATGGGCATGACTGAATTGACATCAGTGATAATGTGAGCATCTGGACCTAGGTGCCTACCAAGACATTCCCAAAACTGATATCATCATCTAACATTTGATACCTACCTCCAAAAAGGGCCTTGATAATAAGTTACAAAATCCTGAGAATACTGCAGCAAAATGTACTGGAAGGACAATTAAATAGCATGCTTCAAGGAGAGCAGGCTTTCAGAAATTGCCATGCTGCAGTGACTGAGGTATTGTGGCATCTCCTGTTCTAAGTACAGGAAGAGGCTATCGTTACTACAAGTACTCGGGTAAATTCATACTTGTTGAATTGTTAATGGTTCCCTCTACTGATAGCAATCCAAAACATACTAGTAACCAAAACAACCTAAATTATTTAACCACCTGATCCAGAATAATAACTCTGCAAATAGAGGGTTTGATTCACCACTGCTTGTGCAGGAGATTGCAACTTGCACCTTTCTGCAATGGTAGGGGCAGCTACACTCAGGAGAGATTCACCTTGATGAAGGAAAAGCAGTTTTGGTGTTATCTTCCTCAAAGTTTCTACCAGGAAAGGACAGCTTTAAAGGATATTCAGAACTCCAAAGGAGGCTGTTTAGGGGAACATGCTGAATCAACACATCTACTGGACATCTAGTCCTTCATCCATCCCAGCCAGCATTGGCCACTTTGGGGCTGCAGAGGCATGTTGGAGTGTTGGAACCCCTCCAAGCAGACTTTCTGCCACCGGGGACACTGTGCCCTGGGAAACATCAGTGCAACTGGTAACTTGTGAGGCTGAGTTCAACTAATCCAGCCTCACAAATGTTATTTGACGTAGGTAAGAAAAGTTATTCTTAATTGTTTCGGACGAGGAGACAATGAAGTAAAGCAACATGCTGAAGGCCCCAGAACAAGTTAGTGTCAGGGCTGCCCTACTACAGTCTCCATTTTGTGCTTACAGCACTAGCTATGCCACTTCCAGAAGAGATAGCTGACAACACTGATTTACAAATATATTCAGAGCACCCAGCATTCAAAAATACAAATACTATTGAAGAAATGTTCCTGTTACCTTTTGCTATCTATGATCTGAATGCCTTGTTGGAATGTGGGCTGGGCCACTGCTAACATGGTGGCTAATGGCCATTGTAGTGTCTCCCTTCACATTGAGCACTGACAAAGGGGCATCAATTGTGCTCTCCTGTCCTGTTACCTTGAATTTTTTACATATTACTATAAAGACTTTTTTTCCCTATAACCAGTGCCTAAGGGGAAGGGCCTTGTCGTGGCGGCACTGCTTATACCAACGCTTCCCCATTTTGGTGGTAGAGTACTCACTATGTGTATTGCTTAGTCCTGCACTCAGATAGTTCTTCAGTAGAATTGCCCTGCTCTTGAGTTCAATTCCTGCCCTTAATCTGGGCTGTCCTACTCAGTAACTATGACTCTCTCCCAACAGGAGTCTTGCCTTTATTCTTCCCACTCCATCAGAAAGAGTTTTCTTGACCAATGCTCACTTATTGAGGGCAACATTTTTCTTCCATCGTAGACTGTGGGCCTGATTCTATACTGACCTGCAACTTTTGTAGATGTTGGTGACTGTGCAAATTGTCACCACCATTCTGATTTGGCAGCAGTTTTGCATGGGTGTAAATGTCTATATGAAGGGCATGGCCCGTAAAGTCTATCTCCCTTTTCTCCTCAAAAACACTAAGAGTTAGTTTTTCCACTCCTAATCCCTCCAGGCACACTTTTTTGCCCTTCCTACCTTTATGGAAACCAGACCAACATTGGTTGGAGGATGGACAAGAGGGAGGGTGAGGGATAAATCATGCAGAAGGGGATATGAGAACAGAAATTAGGCAGCTGAGTATCAGCTATCAGAATGGAATTTAAAGCTCAAAAAAGGATATATTTTATGGTTGAATTTGAGAAAGCTTCAATTTACCAAAGCCAGTTCCCTGTTGCATCACCATGAAGTTCAATGTTTAAGAATGGCTACGATGGTTATAGCTTGCTACTGAGCCAAAAGGGTTTGGTTTCAGAGTGCACCCTGACATCTTATATCCAAAGCTGATTTTAAACTGCAACACTTGAGTGGGGCGCTGGACTGGTAGAAGTGCCATTGCTTAGCTACTTTTTTATGCCTCTAATTTCCACTGCACAATAGTCACAAGGGCATGCAAATATTTTAAGCGCACAATCAAACTGGGTATCGCTACAAAACTTAAGTGTCCCTTATGTATGAAATAGTATTTTCATGTCCAAGCATCTATTTTGCTGTTTTCAGGGCCTTCTGTGACCATGGCAGTGGGTTAGAGCATCATTTCATTAATGAGACAAAACAGTAAGAACGCAGATGGCATGGAAAGTCACCTACTATAGGTAAAGGAATTAACTGAGCCTGCCAAAATACACATCAAAACTCAGAACAAAGTGGTTCCTCTCCCCTCAACCCAAAGCTCCTGTCGGCTCTGACTAGTCAGTGATTCTGCTCATTTGTTATGACTGCTGTTGGCTGGCAAGAGGCTGCCATTGCCTGCCACTTCAATAGGTCCATGGATTGCAGACTCAGGATTTATGTTGGGCCTGATCCATGGACTATCACTAGAGTTTAGCAGGACAGCAGCAAGACAACAGGTGACTTCAATGGGGCCACTAGCCACTTTCCTTATTCCCTATCAGAAGTGGGAGCTTCCTGTAGTGCGGGCAGGCATTTGTCAACTTTCCACACCCCCTATTAGCCATCTTATCTGTTGTCTGGTAAGGGATGCTATTTGTTTAGGCCAAGAAGTGACATGGCGAAGAGCACCTTTTGGAGTCTAACTCTTTTCCCTGTGGCAGCAGCTTCTTGTGCAGACCCCTCTGTGGTAATCACTGAATGGACTCTTCAGGTTTCCTACAGTCACTGAATTATTATATGAACACTTAACTCATTATATTAGATACCATGACTATGAAAGATGACATATAAAAACAAACTTTATTCTAAACAATTTTGTTCTGAACTACTGTAAAAATTGAGCTTTTTATTATTTATTTTTTAAATTGTACAAATCTCTTTACAGTCAAGTATTAGTACAAAACTATGTGGCTGTACAAAGCATTTAGAAGTTCACAGATGAGATTGCAGGAGTCCAGGTTGGTGTAATTTACACCTTCTTTTAACTCCCTCAGCAGGTATGTTAAACCACCTTAGATTTACACCCACTACCCAGACAGTATCTCCTTACACAACACTTCTGACTTTGATATACTGTGTATTAGTAGGTGTCACTCATTTATTAAAAAATAGACGTGCAGCAAATGCAGTAACAGGAAGGTTTAAAAGGCAATAACAAGAAGGTTTAAAGATGTGTTAGTTAAAGCAGGCTTCTTGGGATGTAAACATTCTTGGGGCATATGTTACTCTAGCTTAGCCCGCTTTAGACTCTGCCCAAGTTGCATTTGGAAGTTTCCCCACACTGGTAACAATTTGAATGACACAAATCATGTGGGTAACAAGAGCAATGTGACAGTGAGTGCCATGAGAGCAGGTTGAGTGAATAATGCATTTGCACAGAGGTGATCTTGTAATGAATACTTGAATGTATTGCACAAGTAAAGTTTATAAATATTTTTCAAGGTGAACCTCTGTACTGTCAGGATCACAAAGAGAATATTAAAAAAGGAGCTACAGCATGTAGTGGTATAACAAGTGTGGCAACATATGTTCTGCAAATGTTAAAATTGAAATGGATTTTAACTTCTAAAGGTTTGCCTCTTTTCTTTATATGAATAATCTATCAGTGTTTTACATTTAGGACAATGTGGTTTTTATTTAAAATGTCTGTCTTTAATAAAAAAAATTCTTGTTCTCTACAAAAATACTCCGCTCACTATAGCTCCTGACAGCTTTAAGCTACTGGGAGGAAATAATATTAAAACAAAGGAAATAAAAAAAAATGCAAAGAAAATATTTGGAATAATCTTTGGAAGAAATATATATATGATTACTGCGTATAACAAAAGTTAACATTGGCTGGTATACTTTCCATCTATCATGGGAAATTTTACCTAACTCATGAGAGTAACACTGATGCATTAGAACTGGAATACTTTTTGTAATAAATCTAATCTACATCATTTATTTAATTATATTAAACATGGGCAAGGAAAATAATTTGCGTCTACTGTATCAGTAGCAGTTTAAAATTCATTTAGGCAAAGCCTCATCCCTACACACAACTTAAGTAAACAAGCTGTGTGTATATTGCCGTGCAAGAGGTGTGGAAAAAGAAATCCTCCTATCAAAGAGGCAATGACTGAAGGCTGCATTATCCCTTGCAACTGTTGTTCTATCCCTCTACAATTATTAGGTAGGGGATCTGCAGCTACATGAATTTTCCAGCCCTGGCCAATCTCTACCTCCAAACCTCTCACGCATGCTGGGGTATGAAATAGTATTTTCATGTCCAAGCATCTATTTTGCTGTTTTCAGGGCCTTCTGTGACCGTGGCAGTGGGTTAGAGCATCATTTCATTAATGAGACAAAACAGTAAGAACGCAGATGGCATGGAAAGTCACCTACTATAGGTAAAGGAATTAACTGAGCCTGCTAGATGTCTTTGCAAACTAAAAGGAATGCTTACAGCATAGTGCTTAGTGCATAGTGCTGAGGTGGGACTTCCGTGACCACATTAAAGCTAGACATTTAAAGATGAAGTTTCTTGAAGCTCAGTCTTCCTTACATCTTACTGAGAGTTAACGCAACACAAACACAATTTTTGAACAAATCTGCTTTACCTCCCTGAAAATATCTGTTATGTCATTCTAGTACTTCACAGAAAGAATATGTGGTACGGCCTCAATTGACATTACAGTGGAGTGGTCTGAAGATATCAATTACACACTATTTCAGGCAGAGATTTTCCCTTATGATCTAGTCTGGAAGCTTATCTTACTGATGACGCTGCAAACGTAATGAATCATTCTTTTCATTCCCTCTTGACTAGGCATGGCCACAGAATTGGTTCCTGTTCTCTGCTCTCAGTTATTATTTTTTTCTGAAATGAATGAAAATTGATATGTTCCTCTAAGGCTAAATTGAATTTAACAATATTTCATGAAATTGAATATATTAATCTATATACTTATTTCATGATGTTCAATAATGAAAGAGTTCTTGCTGAAAGCACCTCATTCTTAAAGTATGGAAAATACAATAGATGTCTTGGAAATATATTGGTATTGGTCTATAATTAAACTCTACCATTATATCTGCACATTTTTATAGTTTCTCAAAAAAGTGACAAATGAGGTCTGTGGTGGCTCAAAAACCTTGGGATTTAAAGGGTTAACTCCATATCTTTTAATCTCATTCAAATGCTGGGACTCAATAAAATGCTATGATTTCACAAACAGGAGTATTATGATATGCTTGATCATTCAGTTAGCATGTGAAAATCATTTAACTTAACTGTGTTGCTAAAACAGGGTTGTTTCACACAAACCAAACCAAAACCCCAACCCTCTTCTTCCACACACACACACACACATTTCTTAGCTTTCTGTGATGTGGAACTGACAGGACACTGTGTTTCAATACGTGCATCTTTGATAAAAATGAGTTAAATTTGAAATTTTTTCAGAGATTACTGGAAACAGACCCCCCAATAAGAAATAGAATGTCATTATTTCCTGGGTAATTGGGGATTTTTACCTTTGGATATATTTTCCTAAATTGTAAGAAGCAACATTAAGCTTGAGTGTGCTGTGAAAGGAATAATCTACATATTTCTAGGTTAAATCAAAAATGCAAACTTACCATCAAGTGCTACTAGGGTCTCTGGATGTATTTAAAATTTAGGGCTTCATATTAAATAACTTTTTTTAATCATTAGTATCATCATGTTCCTTACAATGGCATTTATTTGTATAGACTTCTCCTTTGAGCTAAAAATGATGGAGTAAGAAAAGTGAAGGACACAGATATAAAACAACAAAGAACAATATTACTCAAGTACAAGTAGCTAGTCAACAATTTGTGGTTGCAAGGGAGAAATTGTGTAAGTGACCGCAGACTATCTTGCTTTGCAGGTGCAAGAGGAAGGAGAATATGGTGGAGTAAGACTGCTTCCTGCTTCCCTTTTCCACTCTGCACAAGCAACATAGAATAGCTTCTATAGGGCTTGGTTAAGGGGGGGGGGAAACTTGGAATGGAGACAGCATGTCCTCTCCCATGCCCTTCAAAACTTCAGTCCACAGGCAGAGGCTCAGCTCTGTATAAGGAAACAGATGAGCATGGACTTTTACTTATATTATAAAGGACCATTAGCATTTAGCATAAATGTGGACTTTTTAAAAAAAAATCCATGTTTATAGTGATCTATTTATTTTTCCTGTGCTGTCATCTCCATTAATGGCTTTTTTCCAGATGCTACAATGATGGGGGCCATATAAATGATTACATAGATTAGATTTCGTACAAATCTAAATGGCAACCTGGCAGTGTACATGACCCCATACAGTATAGAACTACAAAATATATAAATGTATACAATCAGCTAGTGTGTTATGATTTTAAAGTGACATTTCTGAAACGTAGTCATCAGATTGGTCAGCAGCTAGGAGGGCATTTTTACGTTTGATTTAACAAAAGGATTACTTGAATTCCATTGTCATCACATTGTATTTCCTATTTTATTCTAGGATCATCAAACCATTTTAAGAGCCTGGGCAGTTAAAGACTTTGCCCCAAAATGTCCGTTATATGTTCAAATATTAAAACCCGAAAATAAATTCCACATCAAGTTTGCAGGTAAGCTTCAAATTTCAGTGATTTTTTAAAAAAAAAAAGTCTGTCCGTATTCTCTGGAAGGTTGTTTTGTCTGTAAACATTGTACAACATTGTACACCTTGCTCCTACCCAAAGTCATCCCAAACAGAAATATACCCCTCGCTGCCATGCATGGAGATGTAGCCCTGGGCTCAATGTCACATACTGGACTGGTAACACTGAAGCTGTTAGGAGCGTTGGTCTATACGCTCTCCATGTGTCAAGAAAACACGTGAAACAAAGCCTCAGGCTCAGAAACATAACAGAAGAATATTGGTTACACTTTATTAAGGCTCTATTCATAAATATTTCATAAAAAAGTAATAAATGATTAAAAGATGTTTTTAATAAATGGTTAGTCTATTGTAAGATTCCTTAGAGCCATGGCTCCTAAACATTTATAACACCTTCTAGAGATGTACTTATAAAAAGGGCTGGTTGGAAAAAAGTTTCCCAGAAAGTTTTTAGACTGCAAAACAATTGGATATTCCCATGGGATTTTTCTAAATAGAAGTGTAATTTCATTTACTTTGAAAATAATATGCTGAAATTAAATTGTTTCAAAATGTTGAAATGAAGGAATTTGTTTTATTCTGAAATGATTCTAAAAAAATTCATTTTGAATTTTCCATTCAGAAAATGGAAAAATTCTATCAAAATTGACAGTGAGAACAAAACCCAATGTGGCATAATTATAGTGTTCTGTACTGATAGAACATCTTATCTTTCAGATGATGTTGAATCTCACATTTCTAAAAAAGTCTCTTTGGGCAAACTGAGAAATGCCATTAATGGCCCCGGAAGAGAGTCCTGTTGGAGCTTCTTTGGCCAGAAACATTGTAGATGAGACGTGGGAGCTCATAAATTCATATTTATTTAAAAATGAAGGGAGAGAGGATTGACAAGATCCTCCAGATTCCACCATGTAAATGGAAGCCTATCTAGGTGAAAAATTGAAGTGGTAGACTGACAATGGCAGGGAGATGCTTCATGTTTCTCAGTTAGATCGTTGATAAAATAAGTGATATCTATTCAAAAGGATGTAATGGCATGAAGACAAGGAAAGGACTATAAGTGACCTATTTAGAACAATATCTTGGACCCACATTAAACGTAAAATGCATCCAGGTGCATATTAATATGCTGCCTATAGTGTCCTATTATTAACCTGAAGCATTAATAAAAACACCATGAGAAAACTAGGGTACTGCTCTTGTTCCGAGTGACAGACAGAAAAATGCTATTTTTTCCAATTCATATATGTACTTCCTATAGTCTTCACAACTTTCACTCTGATGAATGCATCTTACCCAACTTCATGTGAATTTTGTCCCATTTAATTGCTTTAAGGAAATACCAGTTTCCTTAAGAGTGTGTGTGTGTGTATATATATATATATATATAGAACAAACAGAGGAATATATAAATATATATGCGCATTGTAAACTGCTTCTCTAGCCGTATATATAGACACCTTTATCATGTTGACAGTTCCCTTATGGTGCAGGAAAAACATTTGCCTATGTTGCAAAACTTTGTGTGTAAATATTTCGTTTTTCTCAAGCAAAGATAAAGCTCCCCCTTCCCTCTCCATGGTGACATGAAAGTTCAATTTCCTTTAAGAAAATATCAGTATTTTGAGATCTGAAAAGACTACTGTTTTGTGAAAAATGCACAAAAGCGCTATTGGAGAAAATTATTCGATTTCATCATTCTAGAAATCTGATGAAAAAGCAAATTGCATCAAATACAGAACTCTAGATGCAGAAAAAAACAATAAAAACAATTTAAGGGCACTAGTTAAAGTTCTGTTTAAAAAAAATGGTCCTGAATTTTGCTCTATACTGGAAAGAAGGGAAAGTCATAAACAACACTCCAAGACTATAAAAATGTAAGATTAAGCTATAACTATGAGACTATAACACGGGTAATAAGGATTACTCACGATGACAAGAAAATAATGGGATTATCATCTATTCTTTTTTTTTAATTGTGACTTCAATTGTGTACCTTGTTTCTGATGGTATTTCCTCTAGGGTACTTCTACTTTTCTATATGAGCTGTGTACATAGCAACTTATGACTCATGACCCAAAAGGGTGAGCTTTCTGAACAGATACACTTCAGAGACTCCACAACTCCTATTTAGGCTAAACCCCAAACTGATCATTTGGACCATACAATTATCTCAGAACCCAACTGCCTGTTGTTCTGCCAATGTCTGAATTCAGACTGACATGCAATAAGTTATTTTTTGTAGGCCCTACATGGGGCAGAAGGAGACAATCGTTTCTGAACCACTTAAGCCTATCTCTAATATTTACCATACAGAAAGCAATGCTATATGATTTTAAATTTATGCAGTGCCTTTTATCTCAGGAACATTTATGAATTATGCACAGGGATCACTTTATCCATTGACAACACATGCTCATCTCTTGTGTGAAACACAGCAACTCTAATTCCACATAGCCACATTGCACAAAAGTTTAGAAATACAAAATACAGTGTCATTTTACAAGGAGAATTTAAGCTCAATAGTGTAATCACAACATAATTATTATATTACTTTGAATGTGGCCAGGTCACCAGCCTGACATCACCACCCACCACCATGGGATCATTATTTAGAACGAACGGTCAGACCTTGGCCTTATGTCTCATTCCAATGACAACTCCATATACCTTAGTGGCCTCTAACCCAGACCAACCCTGCTTAGCTCTGAGAGATGTGGGGAGAGCCATAGGCAGTTCTAGAGAACTTCCTCAGAAAAAAATATCCATCTGAATATATTCAACTTTTTTTCCTACACACTTTTCTAACCTTGATACAGAACAGTTCCAATATTACCTCATTGCAAAAACCTTCTTTCAAATTTGATCTGGCCTGGTATTGTACCATATTTCTTCCTTTAAACGATGACTCCTTTCTTTTGGAAGTTTCCTGAACCAATATTATGCATTTTTGCTGTGCCAGAAATCTTCAGTAACAATTTTACGTATGAGCACAGAATACATAAGTTACGTAAATCAGTTTCTGACCTTTAGAAAAGAAAACAAAGTACTGTATAAAATACTTCAAACCGAGGATTAGTTATTGCTTCAACTGCTTTGCTAACTCCAAAAATACTGAAAACTCACTCTCCATTATTGCTTAGATGATTAATTATTGATGGTAAAAGAAGTAGAATACTTCTCCATATTTTGGCTGTGACACTTCAAAGAAGACCTGTCCAGTATAAGGGTCTGCTCAGGCATATGAATTTGTAGGATCAGAGCCCAATACTTACAATGAATCTAACAGCTGCACATGTAACATTAGAGTTATTAACATCCATGGGCAGGCAAAATATGTAGATGCAGCTACTGAAAGGTTTTCTATTTCATTGCTCTTGACCCTTTTTGTATCCTCTCCTGAAATACTGTTTGTTAATTTCCCAAGTGAACCTCTTCCCCTCCTACAGCAATAATAAACTAGAAAATCCATTTATCTTTCTCCCTCAGACATAGACTGTGATATATCAGGCCACTACCTTTAATGCACCCAACTGATCCTCCATTTAAGTTCAAATCTGAAAAGAAAGTGAGATGTATCCATGACAGAAAAGCATCAATATCTGTGGCTCAGGGATGCAGTAAATTGAACATTTCTGCTTTTGTGTTTATCTTGCATCCACTTTTTAGTAGTACATGAATCTCCTTTACCTATTCAGAAATGTGTAATCACCATTCCAGTGATCAGAGATACAGCCTAATGAAGCATTTTATCACTCTCTATACAAAATGCCATGTTGAATTACCTTGGATTGGCCAAGTCTTATGTTAAAGCTGCAGTGGCTTATTGGGAAGGAACATAGTCCAAGCTCACTGAAATTGATATGGAGTGCATGTGATGATTAATCTATCAAATATAAGATAAAAATGAGCAGCAGAAGCTCTGTAGCAGATAGGCAATTTTTCACTTTTTCACTGCAGGTCCAATATGGGTCACGTTCACTTACAAAACTTACAAAAAAGTTTCCTCAGAAGTGGTGCTAGATCTAGGACATTATTCCCATACACCTGACACTGGAACCACATAGTAGTGTTTTGAGTGCATGTTCTCTTTCAAGAACATTAGAGTTGGTATAACTCACAGCAACGGGTTGTCACCAGAGTTTGTCGGGACATTTTTGTCCAATTTGGGAAATGGTCATTTGTCAAAAAGTTTTATCTAGTCCAGGATAGAATTTATTATCAGAGAGAGAGCCCAAAATAGCCAATAAGCTAGTGGTGGGGAACTTACCTGGGATGTGGGAGCCCTTTCTCAGACTCACCTTTTGGAGCTCTTCCGGCTTGTATAAATAATTAAATATTGGGCGACAGACTGCGTAGCCTGGCACTCACCCTGGGATGTTGGGGGACCAGGCTCAAGTCCCTGTTCAGAATCAGGCAAAACACAGCTGGATCTCCCATTTTGCAAGTGAGTGCCCTAACCACTGGAGTGGGTCTCTCAAAAAAAGATTCAGATGGTCTCATTTTTGGTCTGATGTGGAATGAAAAATTCTGAAACATCAAATTATTTTGCAGAATGGAAAATTCTTTTTTTGTCAAAATGTTTACATTTTCTGCCAGAAAAGCCAAAAGAAGAGATTTCATTTCAGGTTGGTTTGACTGAATGGAAACATTTTAGTTTGTTGGACCAACATAAAATGTTTTGTTTTGAGTGAGTTCAACATTAAACTGTATTTTTCTGTGGTGACACATTGCCTCATGGGAATTACAGTCTGGATGCTTGATGCCCATTCCCTATGGGCCAGGCTGCTTGGCTGGACTACATCCCCCATAACAATGCAGTCTTTACTCTGACCAAGTGTCAGGGGCATACCTGTCGATGCATCATGGCAGTAGTAGTTCAGCTAGGGATCCTGGCCCATAGAGAAGAATGGAAGCATCAGGAATGTGAACTACAACTTCCAGGAAGCCAGGTGTTGCCATAGGGAAATGCAGTTTTATGTTGAAATGGCTCAAAATGAGAGGTTTCAATTTTTAATACTTTTTTGAATGTTTCATTCAATGAATTCTTCATATATGCTATCTGCCATCACAATTCAGGATGAAACAATAGTTGAACTATAAGGATTTCCTGTGGGATGAAAGTTCAGAGTTGGGCTCAGCTCCTCATCCAGGCTATTCCTCCCTAACTCACATGGCCAGGCAGCTCCACTGCCTGAGGGTGAGGAGTGCCAGGGCCTTTCCTTCTCCCTGCCCACTCTGGGAGGCTGCAGTACCTGTGCTTTCCAGAGTACAGAGCCTGCAATTCTGCCTAACCCCTTAGCACAGGCCTCACAGAGGAGGAGAGTCCTTCCTTCCTTCCCCTCCACAGCACAGTCACATCATGGGCCAGGTATAATCTAGCCCAGAAGCATAGAGAAAAATAGTCCGTCCCTCTAATAAAGTGAATGGATTATTAAACTCAGTTTTCCACTATCAGTGTGCAATACCAAGACAAGCTTGAAATTATAGTCCATATCCTCATGTTCCAAACAGCTACAGAAAATAGCATTTGCATAATTCAACAGAGTTATTTTGATAATATAAAACAGATTGTTTAGCACAGAAAAGGGGGAGCTGAAGAGAGGAATGTAAGAAGCACCAATTCAACTGAAAGAGGACAGGGAGGAGCACAAGGAAGGTAGTCTAAATAATGCTGCCATTCCTACTAAAGACAGCAGATTTTTCATACAAACTTTAAATCTTCCCACAACTCCTCCCACATTTCTCCACAACAGGTGAAAGTAGTTTAGTGTAACCATCTTTATACCATGTGTAATGAGGTTGGTACCCACCTCTCACGAGTGCCCCCTTTCTCTGGCAGATATGCCTGCAAACAGTTCTTTTCCAGGGGGAGCTTACACCTCTTGCGGGCTGCCCCTTTCTGTTGGCTGGGTGTGAGCCTGCTTTTGTTGTTTTGATCTTACATCGTGGTGGCACCCACCTCTCTCGAGCACCTCCCAGCCAATGGTTCTCTCGGTGGGTCTTCAGCAACTCAGCCCTCCGGCAGAGCTGCATACACTGTCCAACCTTTCTGGGTTCTTATCACGGCCCTGCTATGGGGCCATAGCTCTTAGGTTTGTTCCCAGAGGCACTCCCTTTTTCAACCACCCATCTGGGGCCAATCTCGGTACCCTCAGCTGGCATCCTCTTCAGCAGCCCTCCCGGGCTCAGTCTGCAACCAGACCAGCAGGGCCCCTCTCGGTACCCTCATCTGGTCTGGCCATGTTCTTTGGTCAGTCCCCCATGCTCTGCCTGCCCGCACTGACCTTTCAATGGTTCTGCTGCTCATCTAGCCAGCCAGGCACCCAGTCCTCCCTCATCAAGCTCCACACAGCAACCGAAGGCTCTGCTCCTTGCCTTTTATCTGGCCCTTTAGTGGTTGCTCCAGCAGCCCCTCTGATTGGCTGCACCTCTGTAGCCACTCTAGGCTGCCTGGAGGACTTCTCCTTGCTCTGTTCTAGGGCAGGGTGAGGCAAGGCAGTGAGGCCTCCAGACCTAGTCCACCCTGCCCCACCATGCTATGCATCATTTCCATAAATGAACTGCAAATGGCAAAAAGGTCCACATTAGACTCTTTAAAACACATACTACTGGTGTAAATCCTGAGCATTTCCACTGAACTACATGTGGGATTGTTTTAGACTCAGGCTTTGCTTTATGTCAGAATATATTAGATTCAGAATCTAGATTAAGGAGTCCAAAGTTTAGTGTTGCTCTGTGCAAGTGCATGTTTTTACATAACATTTTAGTTTCTTTTATCAAGTTGATGAGGAATGGAGTAGTGAGGTTTTATTATGTAGTTTGGCAATGAGAAATTATGAACAACGAATGAGAACAATGGTGCTAATTATGCTTCTGTATAATCTTTCATCTGATGTTATCAAATTACTTTATAAATAAGAATTTGTGAAACTTCAAAAACATCTTATGAAGTAGGTAGGTGATTATCATCCCTATTTTACCAATGCATAGAGGCACAGAAAGCTTAAGTGGCTTATCCAAGGTCACTGTTAGTCAGTGGCAGAGCTGTGAATATTCTAGAGAGTCATGACTCCCCATCCCCTACTTTAACCACAGGAGAATATTCCCTACATAAAACTTCAGAACAAGAATGATTGAAGATATTATTTCACATCGGTCTGTTTTGTTCAATTTTCTCAAACAACACTATCAAAAAACTGACAGCTCTCTCTTTTTATCCACCCCATAACATATGCTAAAGAATATAGCACTACTTTGAGATTGAATACGATTTACTTCATATTTGTATTCCACTAATCCTCATTTCCTTTTATACATCAGATCACAATGCTCATTTGCCCCCATGCACGCTTCAAAGCACAGAGTCTGAAATTATTTGACATTGTATTTCTATAGTTTTTTTTTCTTGTTTTTTATTTTAAAAAATGTTTGATGCAGTAGAATAGCATCTTCATAAATAGGAAGCTTGGCAAAGCATTTAGGTCAGTGGAAGTTGTGTAGCAAAGTCCTATACAAGTCTGAAAATGCAGGAGCTAATATTCACTTGCTCAGTGTCAGGAAGTCAATATTCCTTTCCATAACCCTCTGTCATGTTACTGAATCATTTTCATGGACTTCAGTATATCCTATCTGAACTGTAGACCATGTCTTGCCCTGCATGCTCTTAGCAAAATCTTTAGTTTCGAATCCAAATGGTAGAGTTTTTTCAGGTTCATTAAAAGCCACAAGATCAACTTGAAAAAAAAAATCTCATTTCTTTCTGAAAGGTTTATATCTACTATACTCTACAAATAGCACATAGGATTTCTATGACTGGAAGAAGTTATTGGGAAAAATATTTTAATTTCTTTCAGTTTCTTCCTACATTTGACAGCACTTTGTGTATTGTCAGTTTCACTCTTTCCTTGCATAGTCAGCCATGCTGATTTCTGCAAAAACATAGGCACATGCTTACCTTTCCACATATGAGTCCTCTCATTGAGCTCAATGGATTATTCACATGCATAAAGGCAACCATGTGCCCAAATGTCTGCAGAATCTGCCCTTTGTTAATCAATGTCTCCTTTGCTTATATATGTCAAAAGGGGAATGGAAAATTACTCATTTTTAAAGTTTTTAAAATCAGGATACATTATTTAAAAGCTATGCTACCAGAAACAGTAATAATTTTAAATTTATCAGTTTCAGAAGAGTCAAGTTGACAGTGTCTAAGTAACTGAGTTGAGAGTTTTCACCATTTTACAGTTTCTTATATGTACTAGAGATATTTTGGTTTCAGCTTTCTATCAGGAAATAATTTTGTAACTTGTGATGTTGTGTCTGAGATATACCTCAAGGAAAACAGCAGAACTATTCCACAACTAACATGCAGTTCATATGTGAAAACATATTCTTCTCTCTCTTCACTTCCAAGGTTTTCAGATATAGCACTTCAATGGCTCCCGACCAAGAAGGAGGACAATAACTCAGATTTTTTTTCTTTTACCATAGTGTGCTATATTGGAGAGAGCTTTGAAAACCTCACTTGTGTATTTATCTTTCAAAAACTCTTCAAACTTCTAAGTCTACAAAGAGCTTAATTAAGTCACAATAGCCTACAGTACTTATCCTTTCTTAGACCCTCAGTGTTAAAGTAGAAATGTTAAAGTGACATCTAAGAGTGCTCTCCTTATTCTTTTCTCTTCACAGCACCTCCAGTTCTGGAAAGCACTCAACCACAAATCCTAACTTTAAGCACCTGTCATCTAAACTAAAATAAATGGGAAAACTCACATATTTAACATTAAGTACGTGCACGTGCGTTTGCAGTCTTGGAATATAGGTCAATCCAGTAAATTACTTGTAATCCCCTCCTCGCTTCTTTTCTTTCTTCACTCCAGAGTGTCAAATGCGGTATGAATTTTTGAGCTCTGGTTTTAGTTTGTTGTAACTTGGGAAACCCTTGTCCAATTCACTACAAGTTTGGTAGAAAACATCTACCTCTAACCGAGATGTCATCTACCGGTTTTGAGGTAATATTTCACACATGTTGCCAGGCAGGTTAGCTACAGCAGCCCACTATGGCATGTCTACACTTCAAGCTGGGGGTGTGATTCCCAGCTCAAGGAGACATACTTCCATTTGCTCTATTTGATCTAGTACACTAAAAATAAAGTTTAGCCTCAGCAAGACAAGTGGCAGGACAGGTTAGCTGTCCCCAAGTACATGACGTGTGCTGCACAAGGGCTATGCCTGACAAAGTTTACTTTCTCCCTACAGCCATAGGATGGGGGGTGTCTCTCTGTGTCAGTCTGCTTCTCAGGCTATTCCTGGAGCACAGCAACTCAATTTTGCCCCTTGTTTGGGGCATATTGTAAAATGACAGTCCAGCCCAAAATAAAGTCTTTCTATTTATAAAGCACTGATCCTGCATTATGTCTTCTTTTATACAGATCACGTTGTATGTGAAGAGGAGTTCAAATATGCTATGCTAGCTTTAAACTGTATCTGCCCAGCTACTTCTACGCTAATCACCCTGCTGGTTCATACCTCTAGAGGACAGTAAGTACACAACCCTTTAAAAAAAATGAGACTGATATCAGAGGTACTTTGGAACACAAGGGAAGAGTCTATCCCAAGACACCACTGTTCAACCTCACTGAATTCAATGGCTCTATTTATATTACATTACAGATGTGGGGAAATAGTGAACATTTCCCCCACAGTATAGCTGTAGTTTTGATACACATACATTGAAATCCTGCTTATTGAGTGCAATTGTACTTTTCTTGACAATAAATCCTGCAGGATTTAGTCCCCAGTGCTTATATTTTTCAGAAGGAAACAGAGTTATAAGTTAAGGGGTGGCTGGGGAACATAGCCACAACCCCACATTAGAAATAGTGCAGGATTACATTGCATCAGTGAATCACAGAAGCCCAGTGAGAGCTATGAGAGGCTTTGTGGCCTAGATTTTTCCAAAGTGGCCTTTGAGCTCAACTTTATTCACCAAGTACCTGATTTTTAGAGGTGAAAGACACCCATGACTCAAACTGTGGTCAATGTGACAGCTGGGCGCTCTTCTAAAAAAATCAGATCAAATCTGTTCTAAAAAATGGGCCCAATAAATGAAGGCACCCACAATCAATGGCTACTTTTGAAAATTACAGCCAGTGACTCAAGGCAGCAAAATGCCTCTCAAAATTCTGGAGAATGAGGAAAATTGTTCCCATTCTGGACAGTATCTGCTCCCTTCTGCCTCCCTGCTGGCTACTGCAAGGAACGGGACCACAGCACTACTGCTTCCACTTTGCACAGGTGAGAGCCAGTTCTGGTACTGGATCTGTGCAGTCTCTGGATTCCAAGTCCAAGGACTTCCATTGCGCTCAGTTCGAATGCAGAGGACCAAGTGAGAAATACCATTATGCTTTCACACTGTCTAGCTCTGAGGACCAGAGCATTAGCTGGTACAATCATTTTAGTTTTATTGACTTCAACAGAGCTACCTCTGTTTAAACCAGCTGAGGATCTGCCCTAACTGTTTAAATGAAGGTAGCACCCATTAATGCTATAGGTTGTGGTTGGAATTTTCAGAACAGCTGAAAAGATGTAGGCACTGAATTTCCAGTAAGAGTCAGCACGAACTTCTTTGGGCTCTTTGAAAATGCCAGTGGACTTGGATATCAAAGTAAGGACAGAACACCCAGTGCGATTTCTTTTCATAGTTAATTTTTAAAATACTAAGGAATTCTTGAGAAAATAGTACCAACAGAGAGGCAATTTTGAGAGTAAATCCCAGTATATGGCTATACAGGTGCATGCTTGTATTACAAGGAATTAGGATTTTACAATAAATATATATTTCATGAAGCTGCCATGGACACTCCTAAAATCTTGACATTTACCATGCAGTGGCATTTAACCTTGAGTAAGGCATTTGGAGTATTCCCCTATGCTGAGGTTGGGGAATACCACATTTACTGCAAGAACTTTAACTTCCGAGAACAGCAAGTGTAAAGATTTTAGTTGAGTCTACTATGCTAGAATCTGCTAATAAGAACACAATGGAATAGTTTGTATGCCTCCCAAGAACCGTGAAGAATATATTTGCTTCATTAGCAATTCAGAGGCTAAAAAAACCCAAAACACTTCAATGTCATATGTACATGAAAAAGTAGCAGCATTTTTAACAGATGGCACAGCAGGTTCTTCACCAGCCAATTAACACATGAAAGATTCCCCCCCCCCCCATGGCACTTCAGCATTTTAGCATTATATTTCCAACTCATGCAGGTTCTCCATTTATACAAAGTAATGTTTTCTATATTGATTTTTCTTCTATACCATGATATAAAGTTAATATGACAGAATGTGAGAATTTCTACTATTTTTGGCGAGCTCCCTGAATTAACTGGTGAAAGAAGGGACGTTAAAGTAACTGATTTATGGTCTGGTTCCTCACTTTGAAAATTGTCAGTGCTGATTACTGGGAAGAAGGAAATTTCTACTCACATTAGTAATTGCTAGTTACGTTTTGTATCCTCAATATAGAAAACATGCAGAAACTCACGAGAAACTAGCTGTGGAAAGATTTTATAAAAAAGTCAAAATGAAATGTTTTTACCTTATTGAAATGAGAAAGTCAAAACAATTCACTTCACCTCTTTTCCATCAAACAAATTTCATCAAAATAGACACATTCCTGAGGAACATTTCAATTTTGACAAAACTGTTCCATAGAAAAATTTCACATGAGCGCTATGACACACTATTACTTCCGTGAAATTTTGCAAATTTCTTTTTAAAATGTAAAGGACAAGAAAAGTTAAATGTTAATAATTGATCCAAACTCTGCTGAAGTCAATGGGAGTCTTTTCACTGAATGGGCTTTGGATCTGTTAGAAAATGAGATCCTACTTTCTCATTCTTATTCAAATGTGTCCACGTTCTAGTAGAAAATGCTGATTTCATAGTGCTTCCACCATGCTAGTAGGCTGATCGGACAACACTGAGCTTGTTTTAATTGAACTCCTGATATGTTAGTTCTGAATCCATGATGTTTAGAACCTCTGAATAAAAAAACCTAGCCCCAATTAGGCCTTAAATTTGAATTCTACCCTAAATCTAATCCTGGTTTATATGTTACCACAACCTTCTTGGTTTGGGTCTAACCATGGTATGAATTTAGAGATGGCATTCCAAGAAGTATTTACATTATGAGTTGTCTTTTTGACATGCAGCTGCTATGGAAACCAAGTGGGTGGGTTGGCTTTCTAACAAAAAAACAAATGCTCCAGTCTAAATAGGGTAAAAGAAGTTCAGTTTATTATTCTCCTTCAGATGGAAAAAGGGATTTAAAAAATAACAGAATTAAACCTAGACAAAGTGCTAGTCTCCTAGTACCTGTTCTGCCAACCGGGCTTGGCTAATTTGGTTCTTTATAGAGTTCAGAGTTTAAAGCCAAAAAGGATCATTAGATCATATAATCTGACTTTACCCAGTCACTTCTATATTGCACCCAATAATTTGGATGAGACTAAAGCATTTCAATCCTCAGGAGACTAGATTGTTGTGTGCCCTAGACAGAGAACAGGAGAGGCTGAGATCCACCAATGCCCAAGCAATGGCTGTAATTGATTCTCTGAGATATGACCACATGATCATAGCAGGAGATCCACTCTCCATGCTATAGAAGGCAAAATCACCTTCAGGTCCCATGCTAATCTGACCTGGGGAAAAAATTTTTCCCAACCCCAAACGTGGCAATCAGTTTGAACTCTAATTATTCATAGCCCAACTTTTACAGTGTATGCATTTACCTAGATGTCAGTTCCCCAGTATTTTGGGAAGGACAGCAAAAGAGAGTTCTGTGGCAATTAAAACAAAAGGAAGAAAATGAAAGGGAAATGTACAAGATCTTACCTTTTTTTCATACCACATTTGGTCACATTAATTCCACAGAAAACAAGAACTAAATCTCATGTAAAGCAAATAAATAAAACAGTGTCTTCAAGAGACAGGCTATCCTGTATTAGAAGCTATAACTGTAAGCCTTGTACATATTTCATATTCTATAATACTGTTGCAATTTTTGGAATAATGTCTTAGTTAAACAAAATGACTTGCCCACTATCTCCTGAGTATAAAGCCACATGAAATGTGTTTAATAAGGATACCATCCTGTGTCAACATGTGCTTGTTTTAAATGAAACAGAAAAAGAATTATGGACCAGATGACCAGCTGGTGTTAATTGGTTTAGCAAAATAGAGTAAGTGAAGATATGCTGATTTATGCCATCTGAGAATCTCGCCTAAATGTAATAAAATTAGATTTGAATTAGATTTGTTATTCACAAACAAAATAATCTTTATTTAAGATTAAAAGTTGCTCTTATCAATTAACTAAAGCATAAAAAATAGGAAATACAAAGTTAAGGATTAGAAAGGATTAAAGGGTTGCAAAGTCAAGCACTCTTAAATGAAGAAATGCCAGAAGGAACTTTGATCATGCAACTATAATTTAGCCTTTAACTATACATAGCATTGATTATCTGTGAAAAATTTGCTGTAAATGAATTACCCAGCATCTCACAGGAACTCATACAGGATTAGAAGCCAAGTCTCCAAGGCAGCTTTCAGATGACTTAACTATGAGACTCTCCTTTCCCTTCCTGCATCCCCTGCCTCATTTGCTACAAGTCTTCCAACTTCTGCAACAAAATGAGGCAGGGGTCCTATAGACAACAGGCCCATTCACTACACAACATTGATTCATCCCCAGAATAGATTGGTCTTGTGCACTGAATGAGGTAAGCTTTCTGTATACAAAAAACAAAAATAAAAAATTGGGAACATGTTATTAAAAACTGTATTGTAGTTCTTATACACCAGGGGATTGATGTAAGGTTGCACAGGCAAGGTTCACTCTTGCATTTCCTAACTTTGATCATGCTTTACTTTGCAACCTTTTAATCCTTAACTTTGTATGTTATGGTTTAGCTTACTGAGGGGAGCAATGTTAACTAATGTTAAATGAAGTAGTCTGTTTGTGAGTTTCCTTCTGTTTTTTTTTTTTTTTTAATAGAAAGAAACTTTTTATATATGTGCTGTATAAATAAAGCACTTGTACATTGAGTAAAACATATGCATCTTATTATTAAAACATCAGTAGCATCTTATTGCTACTGTTAGTGCCATATGCACCCATACATTGAAAATAAAGAAAATAAACTATTCAAACAAAAAGTTTTACTACAGTTTCTAAATGACATTTTTCTAACTGTGTAACAGAGAACTGAGCTGGGACTCAGTTATAAATTTCCCACCTTTTTTAAAAGGTAAATATTTCAAAAGCGATAGCCCCCACTTTGTAAGATGCAGATAAACAACAGAGAGGACAACACTGCAGCTCCTTGTATCTTATTTTCGTGTAACCCTTTTTGAAAAAGAATCTGTGTAATTTATCCAATAGAAACCCACTAGAGCAAAGCAGAAATTTATCCAAAACCGATCTGCTCTCATTCCCAGGAGGAGCTGCACTCTTTTCTGTAATGACATCACGGTGGTCTGAGGGAAATCAGTTGTCACAGGCAGCCATTGCCAGGACAACAGTGACCCCCCCCCCCACCACCACACAAGAATGTGAACAAACAGGAGGGAGTGAGTGATGAGTGGCTGATTATCTCCGATGTCACAATGTTACTGTTCAGGTGGCAGCAAATGTCAAAAGGGGGAGGGGAGGGGAGACATAACCCACTCCCCACAAAATAACAATCCCTCCCAATGTTCCAGTTGGACCAAATTTACTAAAAATACCAACACCACAAAATCCATATTGGAGACCATTTCACACACAAGTTAATGAGTGTCTGAATTTGGTTTAAATTCTCCATGGCATGTTTATTGAAAGAAAAGTTCTGAAAATATGAGACACTGAGGTATAGACCCTGTAAAACAGAAAGTTCTGAAAACCTGAACTATAGTCTCACTATTGCAAGCCTATAAATATAGGTGGGGCTGGTAAGGTTGGCCCATACTTCCCACCATAAGACCCTGTTTTCAATTCTTTATAATTTTGCCAAATTTTAGCCATTCTGACTGAAACTTCCATACTTGGTGTCTGTTTCATGTTGATTTTTTAACTTCAGCCAAAATAGTACAGCTATTTCCAAGACTCATGCTAGGGGGGGAAAAGATATATATATATATATATATATATATATATATATATATATATATACCCATGTTACATTATCTTGAGCAACCAAAAAAAAAACAAACCTACCCCAGGTGATCAGGGACTTAACATTTGGCTGGGGCAAAGCCTTTGTGTCAGAGACATGCCTTTTACCATCCCTGTGAAACTCCACCCAAATTTGGCCAAGTTATAAGCTTCAAAAGAGAGTATGCACATTATCTTTAGTAGAGACTTAGAGTTTAACAACTAAAATCTCAGAAAATTCTGTCTTCACCTCAGCATGTTCCAGTCACTCTCAGTCCCTCATGGTGACCAAGCTGTGCATGTGTCATTCCCATTGTCACAGGGCAACTGAGTATGCCTCATTCCCTCATTGCTTCCACCTGTGACTCATCTGTGCATGCACCATCCTCAGAGAGCAACTGAGCATGCTGCAGCCCAAGGCTACAGGAGTTCAGAAGGAAGGACTTTTCCAGTAATGACTACATCCAGATGCTCTGGGTTGGGGTGAGACCATCCACCAGAACTGAGAGCAGGGAACCTCTCTCTCTTGTGCTTTCCATGACACCTCTGCTGTCACACAGACAGCATGAAAGAGGAAGCCATCTAATTTGAATAGAGAGGAACAAAAGCCAGACTGTGGGACAGGAAGAAAGTAAAGGAGTAGCCATTCTGACTGAAACTTCCACACTTGGTGTCTGCTTCATGTTGGACTGAGTGGACTTTTAGGCTCTGAAGTTTTACATTGTTTTGTTTCTGAGTGCAGTTACGTAACAAAAAAAAATCTACATTTGTAAATTGCACTTTCAGGACAAAGAGATTGCACTACAGTACTTGTATGTGGTGAATTGAAAAATACTATTTCTTCTGTTTATCATTTTTATAGTGAAAGTATTTGTAATCAAAATATACACTTTTATTTCAGTGATAACACAGAATACAAGATATATATATGAAAATGTAGAAAAACACCCAAAATTAATACATTTTAATTGGTATTCTCCTGTTTAACAGTGCGATTAATATTGCAATTAATCACGATTAATTTTTTTAATCATGATTTTTTTTGAGATAATCACTTGCGTTAACTGCGATTAATTGACAGCCCTACTAAAAACTTATGTTCATTGTGTTGCACCTTAGTATTAGTAAAGTAACTGTGCTTCATTGTCTTCCCTACAATAGGAAGCCTCTGTTTACAAGAATTGGTTGTAGTTTTTTAGCTCCATCTAGAGGTAACTATTGGACTGCCAAATTTTATGAAATTGCTTAACATAGAATTCAGTGGACTCTTAGGATTTTGCCTTTTTGGATGCTTGGTTAAATCTGATAATGGTAAAAATGACTGCTAATACTTACAGTATCTTGAATTGTAAATAGACTAGAAGTGATTCAGTTGAACTTTTAATTTTATTTGAACAAATTAGTGTAAGTAACAAAGAACCAGTGGAAATTATATTTTTTGCATAAAATACTTAAAAAAATGCTTTGCTCTAAGCCAAATATCAATAGATGTAACAAAAAATGGGGGGGGGCAGATACTCTCGTAGCTGAGTTTCTACGATTTCTAAAATTTGCACTGTTTTCTTTATCAAATTGTCTTTCATTCCAAACCATTTTAAAAGATAAGATTTGTTTGAGTGTTGGTATTCAAATGAGCTTTTTCCTGTGCAGCTGGTTCCTGTTTCAATATTCTGTGTTATTACCACAGCCCAAAAACTAAACTTTATTATATTGGAGTTTAAATCCCCAGAATTATGGACATGGATAGAGAGCTATATCATGTAATGATCTGCAATATGTAATAGGCTTCAGCAGTCATACTTTTGAAGCCCATCCAGTTGAAATCAATAGGAAGTTTTCCTGAATAATAAATCCAGTATTAGGCTGATAAAAGGCCTATGTCTGACAGGTCACAAATAATACAAGTTTGGTAACTTCAGTTTAGATTCTAGACAAATTTACTGAAATTAACTTCACCTGCATAAAGCCCAATAATAAGACTGTTCAAGTGAAAGATGTGCACATGGAGGGGTGGGAAGCTTGGGAAGGAAGCAGGGGCATGAGGAAGTGAGGCACTACCTACGTGTTACAGCAGTAGCCAAAAAAGAAACTTATATGTCTTTTACATTTGATCCATGTGAAGATGTACCCTTCCTCAGTTCTGTCCCCACTGCTGCCCTCTGCACCTGCCTAACCTGGGCTGAAGCACAGCCTCCCTCTGATGTCCCACTAACAGACACTGCAAACAGCCCCAATACAAAGTCCAAGTGGTCAGTTTCATCCCTTTGTTAACCCAATAATGCTTGGAGGTGAGGGGAAAGGAAAAAAAAGCAGAATATAGCCATAATACAAGGAAGACTTAGCAGAAGTACTGCAGGTAAGATCAACAAAGAGCATGAACAGCAATTTATTTTGTGTTTGGAGTCAATAAATAAAGGAGCTGGTCAAATCCTGAAATATCATTTTTAAACATCTTTCCAATTACATTCTGCTTTTCATTTTGCCCATGTACAAATTCAAATGATTGCCTTTGTTGTCACAATGTAAGGCTGCTCTTTCTTAGTACCATTTTGCATGCAAACAAAGATTAATGTATTGACAAGAGTATTTTTGAATTGCTATTGGTCATTCTCCATTTGTTAATAAGTCTTATTCATTTAGGTCAGGGAGCAGAAACAATACCATGGGTGAAATCTTGGCTTCACTGAATTCCATATCAAAACTCCCATTGACTTCAGAGCTAGGATTTCACTCCAGGTGACTCATGTGACCACTTACACAGCCAGGGATAATGCCTAGGGAACAGCTGAATCCAAACAGTTCATGAGCAACCCACAGACTAAAACAATTTAGTCTCAACTGTCTATCACACTATCTGGTGAACAGCTTTAACCCTTGTACATACCAAAATTGGATTGTGAACAGAAAGAAAAGGATTAAATTTGCTATGAATATTAAATAGTTTGACACCTGTTATGAATACAACTAGTTGCATGCAGCAAAATAAGCATGTTGCAGCTAGTTGCATGCATCAAAATAAGTTGTATTGCACTAGCTTAGTAATAATGTTTCCACAGAAAAATAATATAGGTTTTAAACATACATATATGTAAATGAAACTCATCTTCATTTCTGATTTCTCTATAAAGTTTTTTAAACAATATGGAATCAGATCAAACTACCATTGAAGTTAATGGGAGTCTTTCCATTGACATCAGTGTGAATTGCATTGGGCCTCTATATGAGTATATTAGATTTAAGCATGTGAGATGTGAGTAACCTTCATTGTACTAAATGGGACTACTCAAATGAGTAAAGTTGAGCATGTTTTGTTTTGTTTTGTTTTTGTTTTTTTTTTAAACTAGAAGCCTTATTTTGTACCAGATTTAAAAAGCTGACCATTTTTATCTATTTCTAACCTAGTAATAAATACAGTCTGCTACTAGAACTTGTTATAGAACAAACATGTTGAAAGATAATAGCATTTCTGAATTGATGAACTTCATGTGATCTTTGCAGAACAGCACCCTGGGAAGCTTTTAGACATCTAACTGGAACCAAGCAGACTTTAACCAGGTGAAACATTTTATTTTAGGGGGAAAAAGTAAAAATATGGCACTATTTTTTATATTAGAATTACGTTTCTAGCTTTCTTATTCTACTATCTCATGATACTTTGTCTATCAGTAACAGTACAATAAAAATGGATGTTATTTTCTATACTAGTTTTATACTAGTTTAGCATTACATTAATTTTTCAAAACTTACATCTGGGAATATAACCCCTCACTTATGATGCAAAAACACCTGACTATGAATAGATATCATGTATACAGTAGGGGAAGGGATTGCTAATGGAATAAGGAACATTTCACCTTTAAATAACTGGATCACTGGCACAGATTAGTGTTAGGGTGGCACAATCTTCAGAAACTATGCATTTCAATTCAGAATTTGGTTTTATAATATTGAGTGTCATTGGTCACCAAAATAAGAGAGAGACCGAAATTTTCCAGCTGTAGTTAGTGGCATAACCACTGTGAGGAAAATAATTTAAAATAGCAGATGTTATGTGAGTTTTTTGAAGCAAGCTTATTTTGTATCCTCCCCGGCAACTTTTAATAAATGCATTATTATGTGTCTTTGAGATTGTGCTCCACAGAGTATGAAGGCAGGAAAGAAGACCAAAAATATTTTGGATCAGAAATAAAAATTAATAAAAAGATTGGTAGTGACATGGATTTTCTAAAGAGATTTGAAATAAGGCAAGACAGGAAATAAAAACTGATGATTGTTTCCTGTCCTAAACGCATACATTCATTGATTAGCTGTAATAGCAGAGGTGAAAGTAAGGTGGTACGGGCTGGTACAGCGTACCAGTAAAAAGTGGCCGCCTGTACCGGTCCGTACCGCTGACTTTAAAGCGCTTTAAAGTCGCTGCTCCTTTTGTGCCCCGCCCCCCCCACTGGTGCCACTCCCCCCCCCGCAGGGCTCCAGCCAGCGCGGGTGGGCTGGCTGGGGGATGCTGATCCCCCCAGGCCCACCCCTTCCACTGAGGCGGGGGGGGGGGGAAGCTGCGATCCGAACCTGTAGGAGACACATTTAACATTCACCCCTGTGTAATAGAAATATTTAGCATGAATCAGATTAAGTTTTAATTGACTGTATCAATGTGGAAAGGTCACAATCATGCAAAGAACAGCAGGCAAAGCCTTGTGGTGGTTGTACCTGAGCAGAAACAACAGTAGCCTATGGTACTATAATCTTAACATTTGACAGAAAGACTCTTGTTCCTTCCTGTCTACCTAAGTTGGTTTCTTGTACAGGGGATGTGGGTCCTAGTAATGGTATATTTTTAAAAGCACCATGGTCAAAAACTCATCACTAAGGCCTTGTCTACACTGCCACTTTACAGCACTGCAACTTTCTCGCTCAGGAGTGTGAAAAAACATCCCTCTGAGTGCTGCAAGTTTCAGCGCTGTGAAGTGGCAGTTTTGAACATTCACCAGTGCTGGTAGCTGCGCTCCCAGTGCTGGTAGCTACTCCCCTTGTGGGGGTGGGTTTTTTATAGCGCTGGGAGAGAGCTGGTGCCATGATTATGCAGCCACATTAAAGCCCTGCTAGTGAAGACATACCCTAAGAGACAGCCTTCCAACCTGGTACACAGACTTATGGTAGCTCTACTCAAGCTAACACACCAAATATAGTAGTGTGGATACTGCAGCATAGAGGGCAGCACAGACTAGCTGCCCAAATCCAAGATCACCTGACCGCCCAAACCAGCACCTCTGCTGGAATGTCTACATGGCTAGCTCAAGTTAGCACAAGTCTTGGGCTGGGAGGCATGCTCACAGTTGTAGTATAGACATCTCCTATGAGAATGTGGTTCGATCCAAGTGGATTGGGATGATATTCCCAGTTGGAACAGGTCAGTTTATACATAGAGGCTACAGTTTTCAGATTAACATCCAAAACTTCTAATTGCAACCTCCCAAACTATGTGTTAAGCCTTAATTACCCTCATATTTGTTGTTTTCACATTACATGCTCAGTATGTGATATCACTGAGTGTTAAAAGATGCCTCAAGCAATTTATTTGTGCTCAGTTTTTTGCCCAGGATCCTCAATTCCCGATCCCCAACTGTTAGAACATTGGATGAGGTTAATATACAGTAGCTGGTCATGCTACCTGCATCCTGTACAACATCATTGGTGGGAGAAGGGGGGTATTATCAAATCAGCAGTTGTAGTGCCCATAATCTCTTGCATCCTAGACCACCATCTGGTAGCTTAATTTTGAGATAGAAAGAAGGGACCAACAAGTCAGCTTTACTGCAAATACTGACAACCCTGTTCTTATCATGAAAATAAAATATGTGTCAGTAGTCTCCAAATGGCTCCCATTGAATCACCTATCACTCTTCCTTCTCCCAAAACGTTTCAAAGTTTAAAATATTTGATAAACCATAAAAAATTCTATTTCCCTCCATTTAAAAAAAGAAGCCCATAACACTGTATTTACATTACTTCACCTGTCCATTTTAAACCTTGAAAGATAAACAATTGTTATATGTATGAAACTTTGTACTATATCTTGTAAGTCTGATTATTGAATGCATGCTTGTTGATTGTGCTGAAAAATAAAGAAGCAGGCTTTGCACTACAAGTGATGGCATGGTAGGGCTTCTTCCCCAATACCCCAAAAAATTGGAATAATAGAATAATTATTTATAATATCCCTAACATAGTACTTTGCACTTTAACTGTCTTCATCTTCTTGGTTATTTCATACACAGAGGGATGCACAGCCTTTCGTTTTTTAAAACTATCAAGGGTGTTTTCAATGCTGTAGAGCAATATAAAAGTCACTGTACTGCAAACAGAAGGCAAAGTGTGGAAATTCCATGTAGAGACCAGAATAAATTCCAGGTGGGGAGAAAGGTAGAGTAGAAGGGCAAGCAAGGGTCATAAGAAGAGTTTAGAGCAGGGAGGGCTTGGTGAATATCAGACAGGGATCTGATGTAGTGTAATACTCTTTTCCATAACTCAGACCATGACTAGGGAGACATGCTGAAGTGATGCTAGGCAGCACAGGGTGCATTTAATTTGTGTGGTGGGGGGAGGAGGGGGGCGGGATAGAGTATGCTACAGGTTCTGCTTGTGTCCAGTGACCTCAATAAATAATCCTCTTTATATTAATAACAATAACATTACCTCTTTAGCTTCAGAGATACTGCATCTGGAAACAAGCCATGGGGTTAGGACAATTTAGAAAGAGCCTGGTGAATGTTGGAAGGGCTATTTGAAGAAGTTTAGAGGGACATTGTGAAGAGCAAGAGACTGTCAAGTCAAAGGGGGTTGATGGGCAAAGAAGGCTAGAGGAACAATTAGGTCTTGTCTACACCACGGTGGTAAAATCGACCTAAGTTACACTACTTCAGTTACATGAATAATGTAACTTAAGTCGACGTAGCTTAGGTCGACTTAATGCAGTGTCTACACCATTCTGTGTCAATGGGAGAGCACTCTGCCATCGACTTAGAGAGTCTTCACCAGATCTGCTAAATCAACACCGCTACATCCATCTCAGCAGTGCTGATTTACTGGTAAGTGTAGACATGGACTTAGAAAGCTATGGAAGTAGGAAGAGTAGACCAAAGTCCATCAGAGATAAAGGTTGATTAGAGGACCAACTTTGCAACAGAAGCTAAAGAATTTTGTTCCACTATGTAACCAGAAGATAATGTATGTGAACACCTCCAACCAGATACTGTTCCTTAACTTTTTAAAATGTATCCAAATTTCACAGTTTACATATAGAATCCAAAAAAATCCAGTGTGTGCTTGAAATTACTTGAAATTCACGTTGTCTCTGCTCTTCGCTATCAAGAAAGTGTAGAAATACTTTTAATACACCCATTACTTTAGAACAGAGAATGTTTCTTAATTCATGTAAATTAATATCTGCTCATCCCTGCTACAAAGCAAATATTTCTTTCAGTTTAGCTCATGGGGCCTTTCTAATAGACATCTGAAGAAACTATTGCCATTAGATACTGCTATGATTAATTAGATGTTTTTACATCAAAGTTTAAAATTATTCTTATTTTCTGTGTGTTTCAGGGAGGGTCAACAATCACCAGAACAGTGGCAGAAAATGTACGGCAGATACTCTGGTAATGAAGTGTATCACATTAATCTGGAGGACAGTACGTTTTTTGCTGAATATGAGGGAAAGAGCTTTACATATGCTTCTTTCCATGCACATAAAAAGTATGTTTATTATTAAAGGACTATAAGTTCAGATGAATCTTCATGTATGTTGCATCCATAGAGTAAATATTGTATTGCATTGTTCTGTGTTGTCACTACCACCGAATGTATTGCTTTTGCTTCTGGTTTTAAATAGCTGCTGACCCTTGTAAATTTATGGGACTTCTGTATTCTCCTGCCAGTTTTGAGTATCAAAAAAAACCTGGTGTTGGTCTATATGTATAAGCCTAACCTTAAGGCAAAAAGAGATTAGTTCTATCTAGGCAGATATCAAGAATGTACATCACAGTCAGGAGATCAACATCTCGATATGGAGTTATAAAAACTAGACATTCAATACATCCTTTCCCTTGCTGATACAACTTAAATGCTTTCTTCCTGGATAGAATCTAAAGAATGCTTAAAATATCTTCTCTGTCGGAACGGGATCTTTCACAGCTGTCAAAGGCTAAGTATATATTTGATGAATCATGAGCAAAATTCACATGGCTACAGTGCACAGAATGGGCTTCCATCTTGAATGGACCGTTGCGAATCTTCTTCCTTTGTCAAGAGGCAGTATGGGAGGATTTAGGTTTCTTAAATCCCTCAAAATTGCATCTTTCAACCTTATTTGTGGTCAGCATTGTGCTCTACTCCCTTCAACCTCAGCTTGATAAGTCTTCTATTAAAGCATACCTTCTTCTTCATGACCCTACCATTGCAGTCATCTTGTTCTCAACCGGTGCAAGGTTGCAACTTGCCAGGATCTTAAGTATCTTCTCATTTGTGACAAAAGCAATGGATGTTAAGAATTTGCCATAACTTTTCACACTGACAAGTGTTTAGTATCCTCTCCTCAGTTGTTCTTAAATGCCATGTTTCTGCTTCATGTAACAGGGTTGTCATCACTACCACATTGAACACTCATATCTTAGTTGTCACATAGACATCCCACCACTCAGAGTCCTTTGAAAATGCTGAAATGCCACTGACACAAGACCAAGCTGATGTGGAACTTCTTGGATCTCCTGCTGTAAACGAATTACCCAGATAAAACTATTGACTCATTCAGTGCCATTGCCATCTACATGCAGCATTGGCAGGTTAGTAGTTTATTTTATAGGAGACATGCATTGCTTTGTTTTTTTCACCCACATCTTAAGTCTAATAAATTCTACAGTTTATGACTCTTCCAGCATTAGCTGTAGTCAGTCATAATCTCTCCTAGTAAAGCAATATCATCGTCATACTTGAGAGCCTCTGAAGATGAATTTTTAAATTTCACACCTCCTGTGTTGACCTCAATCTGCTTTGTGATCAGATAGTCTATTGGAACATTATTTAATGTACGTGAGAATGCATTCCTGGAAAATCGTTGATTCTGTTGAAAACCTGTCTAATACAACCATTGACCCTTACACAGCTAGATAGATGTACCATAGTACAGTTCCTCTGCTAGGCACCCCATGCTGATATAGCAGTGTTCACAGTGCTGCAATGCACTGAGACAAAAGCCGCTGCAAATTCTATAAGCATAATATTAATTTCCTTTCATCAGTCTAGTCATTTTTCAGTAACATTCCAGAGATAATATATATATAGTGCAGATTGTAGATTGACCTGTATGGAAGTCAGAATGGTTGTCTCTCATTTTTGGTTTGAGACAATATTTCAGTTGGTTCGAACATACCTTCTTTGGGACTGACAGCAGTGTTATTACCCGAATAATTTGATCAAGCTGATCACTTCTTTTTTAAAAGAGATAATGCAGCCCCTTTTGCTTTCTTCTGAAATGTGGCTGGTTTCCCAAACTTTTAAGACAACTCTTTGAATTCAGTGAACTAAATATAGGCCTCCACTCATAAGAAGTTCTGATGTAATAGTCAACACCAGGTGTTTTATCATTTCATAACTGTTTGACCACAAGCATCACTTCCTCTAATATCACTGGCCTTTTTTCTGTTGGATTTATTTTTGGATTAAGTTATAGTTTACATGCTGGTGGTGATCTGTTCACTAATTCACAAAAATATGCATTCCAATGCTTAAATTGTGAATCAATATGCTGGCAGTATTTCCCAATTTTGTCCTTAACTGATGGAAGAGGCAAGAATGTATATCCAATGAGGGCCTTCAGAATCTCAGATACACATTTCTGGTCATGTCTTTCAGAGGCTTCATCATTACACTGCACTGTACTATTCCAGCATTGAGTATGAGCATTCTGACGGGCCCTCTTGACTGCTCGCTCAAGACTTTTCTCTATTGCCCATTTCCTCCTCTCACTGACTCAACTCTGGCTGTGCATCCAGTCTGAAAGCTCATAACCCACCACATCATAACCTTGCAACCCCCTGATGGGTCACAACCCCCAGTTTGAGAACTCGTGATATATTAGATATGCATCTCTCAAACTTTATTAAGAGATCATCCTGGTTGCTATTTGGGTTTGATGGTCAGATTCCGGAGCAACAGCAGCACTTGTAAATTCTTACACATCCTGAATGAGTGTAGTTAAGGATCTCATTCTGGTTTGAAAACCCATGGTTGCATTGTTGCCCCATGGATACAAAATGTATACTTTTGGCAATTCTTGGGCTGAAACCAGGTAGACATTGAAAATAGTTCATGTGTGGAAGCAAATTCAAGTAGACACACACCATTATCTGATCTCTCTTCTGATAAACTGTAAGGTCCTGGTACCAGTTCAAATTCAGTTCTGTCATGACCAGTTCTCATGTTCATATCTCCTACTACGACAATATGAAGTTGGAGTGATGTACTACATACAATGTCATTTAATGTGGCATAAAAAGCATCTTTTTCACATCAGGCCTTGCATCAGCTGGAGCATATGCACTATTACCACACATTCTACCTTAAACTGAAAATAGTGGCTATCCAGTATGGAGAGCAAGTCTGCCAGTATGGCAGATTGCACTTTCAAAGACAAAACCAGAGCAACATCAATGTGCTTGTCAGATGCATCACAGTAGTGCAGCAATCAAAAGATCTGACCACTATGGGTCAGCGTTTTGCTCCCATCATTCAAATTCCATTATGTCTCCTGCACACTGCAGATATCAACATTCAACCTTTCCATTTCTTTATCCAGGAATCATTCCTCCCACCCCACCCCCCCAACATCTATTAATGGTCAAACATTCCACAGTCCCATCCTCAGAAATTAGGGTCGGATTCATCAGTCTTACCTCATTTATCGACAATCTAGGCTATATTTTCAGATCACCTCAACCTCAGATGTATCCTGACATATTTTGAACATGTTTGTACAAGCTTATGCTGAGTATGCATGCACAAATGTCAGTTTCATGCATATTACCTTCATTCTGGTAAAAAAGGTGGTTTCTACTCAAATTAATCAATTGATAAAGAGTTTATAAATAGATTATTAGAGTTTTTAAATATTGTAAGATGAATGTACAAATTTAATTTATCCTGCAATCATATGCATATATAAGAGTTCATTTTCAACGTTATAAAATGAGAACAGAGGCTGTCATTTTAATTCCTTATTTTCTACTATTGATCAAAAAGAATAAGACTAAATTATGGGGGGAGGAGGAGGAAATCTGAAAACAATTCCATTGACAGGTGAATAATGGAACAGCTTAATGTGCTGAATTAACAGAGTTCCATAAGTGTATTGTATTCTCAGAAGGGACTATATGTTTGATATCAGAAATTAACTGGCTCAACATCGGAAGTATACTGCTATAGAATAAAAAGTTTTTGAAGTGCTTTGGGATTCATAAGTCCCAAGGAATTGTGCTTGATCACAGATGGCCAGTTTTGGGAATAATTTTGTTAAATACTGTATTTTCAAATATTTATTTTCCAAGAATGTGCACATTTTGACTCTGCAGCATGTAAGTGAGACTAAATTAAGGATCCATTATTGTAATCTGCAATTTGTGTTTTGTTGAGTTACATTCAATAAACCATGTATTTTCCTTCTTTAATTAAGATTTGGAGTCTGTCTGATTGGTGTTAGGAGGGAAGATAACAAAAACATTTTGCTGAATCCAGGCCCTCGATATATTATGAGCTCTACAGACATATGTTTTTATATCAACATCACCAAAGAAGAAAATTCAGCTTTTAAAAAGCAAGAACAGCATAGAAAAAATAATGAATCCAAGTCATACTATCATGGACCTTCTAGGTTACCCTTGCACAGTGTAATTGCCAGTATGGGTAAGTACAGGTAAACCTTATAAAATATTCTGAAACTATAGAAAAGAAAGCTCAAAAATGTACTACTCTAAAACTGTAAAGCGATTTTAAAAGAAAAAGCCTGAGGTGATGGAAAACATGTTCCTTCATTAGGTTTAAATGTATATATTTAATTAAAAAAAATAAAAGGGTCCCAACAATATCAACATAAATGGCATTCTCTTGCTGTATACAGAAATACAACATCACAGACAAATCTATGCAAATGAGAATACTATCTAACAAGCCACTTGCCAAGGAAACTCAAAAGATTATTTAAAAAATCCACAAAGTTCAGACCAGATCCCAGGTGGTGCAAAGTAGCTGTAATATCCATTTAACAAGCCAGTGAAGAGGTCCCCCAGCATGGAAGAACATCCAGGTGATCAAGCAACCGCACCAGCTCCCATGTCACACAGCAAGCTGAAAGGGCATGTCCAAGCGGAAAAAGGGATGTGCCTGGGGTGACCCTTTAGGGCCACAGACAGATGATCAAAAGCTAGTGCCTAAGATAGGCTATTACCCTAGCTAGTGCCAGGATTAGGATGGGAGCCTAAAAATGTCACAAAACCACTTGTGTCATTGATTCCCTTCTTCTCCACTGAGTGTAGCTTGGCAGAGTCCAAAACTCAGGCCTGTATGCAAATACTGAAAGTGTTTAGTCACAAAAGGCTGCAATCTCTTGCTGTCTAAACACTATAAGTCATAATCAAAGACAAACATTTGATGGCAATCTAGCTAAAATGTACCAACAGTCTAAAATATCTCGTGCAATGAAATCCCATATGTCAAAAGATGAATTCCATAGTTTGTACATTCATATGAATATCACAAGCTAATTCACTACAAATTGGCCTAATATTAGACGCTAATCAGTCCAATCAGGATTATTCCCATTTCTTGTACTAGGAAGCAGTACCTCTTACTGGCATAAGTTAGGAGGTAAAACTCCAGACATTCTTTTAGTCCATCAAACAACTCATCAGACTCTATTTTGTTTCCAAAAACATTATGTAACAGAACCAGGAAGAATAAAGGCATTAAGAGTCAAGGTGTCAAATTCTGATCTCATTTACACAATTGGAAATCTTATGTTTCTCTGGTTATAATATTCAGATTTATTAAGTCAAATTCCTTATTATGGATATATAACAACATTCATAAATTCAATATAACCTGCAATTTATTTGTGCATATTCTCCACAGCCTGATTGCATGGAACATGTTTTTAAATGCCATAGACTGATATGTATTTGGAAAAAATAATGTATTACCTTATTATGAGAAACTGCCTTGTATATTGTTCAGTGCTGTAAGGCTATATTGGATGTAGCGTAAACATTATATTTTAATGTAGTTTTTATACATAGACAAAACAGACAGTATTTGAATATTTGGTTCTGTTTTAGATCATCCATAATAAGCATAATTTACCCTTTTTTAAACGCTTAATTGACTTGCACATTGAGAGCTGTTTCTGATGATGATTCAGGGACCGTGGCTATAGATTTACAAGATACAGGATGTAGATCTTCCAGTGGACCTACCCTAACCCTTCCTTCAGAGGGAAGTAAAGATGGCAGAAGATCTAGCATAGCACCTGTTTTGGAGGTTGCAGATTCCTCATCACTTCAAACATGTGATCTTCTAAGTGACCAGTCAGAGGATGAAACTACTCCATCAGATGATGACATTTCTACAGGTTTAGAGTATGTACAGTTAATGTAAACAGGACATTACTATTCATAGATGCTAATACTGGGTAAATGTAGAGTGCAGTTCTGCTCCCATTGAAGTCAATAGGGACAGGATTGCAGCTCTTTTTCTGATTAGTGATATTCCATTTAATAAGAAACAAAAGTGTACCAAATTTCTGCGTGATCCTATCACATCATTTGTAGTGATTAGATACGTGGCCCAAGGGCGAAGTGATTTCCTCTTCAAAAGTGCAATCATGAATTGGTCGAAGCTTCTTAAGGCTATTTTGAAATGAGAAAAACATTCCAACTCATGCTGGACATCTGTGATACTCAATAACAAAGACCTTGTTGTGTTTGGAATTTTAAAGCTATTTCATAAACACACACAAATTCACATACCTGGCAATGTCTCCCTATAGCACATAGTTTTTGGAGTACTTCAGGCACGACTCAGCTGACTAGGAAACAAAACTGAATATTTCAGTCTGAAGAATGAAATGACTTTTTAATAGAGGAAGGTTCACTGACATCTGAGAGAGATCAGATTCCAACCTTTAAAGGGGCCAGTTGTGGGGCACTGCACAGGACTCTCCAGCATAGTATAGCTTGTGTGGTAAAAGTGTGAATGCAAGAATATTGGCAACAAAAAAGCAGCAATAGTAAAGCAAAAAAAACCCACAATGTTTTATTCAAGTGTTTATTAGTTTGTTACTGAAATTAAAAATGCATTAGTGAAATAAACTGAGGGCTCAATCCTGCAAATACTCATGCATGTGAGTAATTTGACTGAATAGGATTACTTATGGGAATATAAAAATTCCCATACTGGATTAAATCAGTGGTCTTTCTCATTGTGGTCTGTCTCTGTGTCAGGGACAGGGTAAGGGTGACCTGGCCTAGGGGTTAGCATTAGGCCTGGGCTGAGGATCCAGGAGCCAATTACCAAGAATCAGGCCAAGCTGGAAAGCCAGGAGATCAGAAACAAGAGACTAAACAGAGGACCGGGATCAAGAGTCTGTTACCAAGTCAGGAAACTGAAAGGTCAGAATCAGAAGGCAGGAACATTGTAAGGAGAGTGATCACTTTAGCTAAGCTATTACCAGCAGGAGAGTGGGGTGGGAGGAGGTATTGTTTCATGGTCTCTGTGTATATAATGTCTTCTGTAGTTTCCACAGTATGCATCCGATGAAGTGAGCTGTAGCTCACGAAAGCTTATGCTCAAATAAATTGGTTAGTCTCTAAGGTGCCACAAGTACTCCTTTTCTTTTTGCGAATACAGACTAACACGGCTGTTACTCTGAAACAAGGCAGGAACAGGTAATCATGAAACCAGGAGTCCATGGCAGTGTGAAGTCCAGTTGTATGGACAACTTCCAGTTTCCTCATCTGACTTAAATAGGGGCAGCATCCCAATCAGGATCCTTGGAGCTCTTCCAGTCAGAACATGGGGTGGGGCTTGTTCCTCAATTTGGATTTTTGGATCTGTACTAGCTGTTGTCTGTAAGCTGCTGGTTGGAAGATTGGAGCATGACAACTCCCATGACCTTCCAGGGACCTGGGCTCAAATGACTACTACATGCCTCAAAGAAAAAAGAAAGAAAATCTATAGTGGAGAATCATGGAATGTACTGCCAAAAAGAGAAATTTCTTCCTAAACTTCAGTTTGTTTACACCCTGAAGTATAAGGATTTACAGTTCATCTATTCTCTTGCAAATATAATTGTTGATATTCTTATGTATATAAATCTGTAGCAGGATTCAGAAAAGGGTTAAACTCTTGGATTCAATCATTTTTGCTGCAATATAGGTTGCTATTACAAATTGTACAAATTGTTTTAGATTTTTCAGCTGATCAGCATTAGGATCAGTTTAACTTTTAAGTGTTATGTAGCAGCCAGAAATATCTTGAACACCGTCCATCTACTTTCTATGCTGAAAATCCATGCTGGTGCCATAAGACATCAGGAAGTGGACTGACACTTAAAGTTGTTTAGATGAGGAACTTATCACCCTAAGAAACAACAAATAACCCATATCATCCCCTTACAATGTCACCACTTATTAATTCTACTGATTTTATATATATGCCTGTAAGCCATAAGCTATGGTCCTTTGATCTTTATTAGAAATAGGAGTTGTTTTGTTTTGATTGTTTATATGGCAAACACTAGTTGTATCTATTTTGATTAATTTCACATTTAGTTATGTATGATTATATACATTAATACTTGCCTATGTTTGCTATTCCACAAATAGTAGTAATAAAAATTTAGACCTGTTTGGTCTACAGTCGTTAAATTGTTGACAGTATTCAGAACTGTTTCTCTACTCTTCTAGGTATGCTAAAGGTTATCCTCCTTACTCTCCTTATATTGGAAGTTCTCCCACGTTTTGCCATCTGCTGCATGAAAAAGTGCCATTTTGTTGTTTAAGACTGGACAAGGTAAAGAGTCTGTGTTGATGGATATACATATGCGTTAAACAAGGCTTGTTTGTTTGTTGTGACCGAACACAATTTTGTCCTTGTCTGCACTTGCAGCTAAGCAGCATTCAGCACCAGTTCAGCTACAACCAATGCTGAAATGCAGTGTTGCTAATAGGTGTTTGTGAAGCTCAGACAAGACTAAGTTCTTTATCATTTCAACTGACACATTTTAGCTTGGGAAGTGAAAAACCACCTCTAATATTATTATCCCTGAATATCAACTCCTATCCAAAGCCACTGTGTTTTTGTTTTCTATACTGGTTTTAGGGGTGCCAACATAACTACTATGAAGATGCCAAAGCCTATGGCTTCAAAAATAAATTGATTATAGTTGCAGCAGAGACAGCTGGAAATGGCTTATACAACTTTATTGTTCCACTCAGAGCTTATTACAGACCAAAGAAAGAACTCAACCCTATAGTATTACTTCTGGATAACCCGTAAGTGGATTTATAAGAAAATTATTTACTATACAAATAAGTGTTTAAATCCCAATACGTGCATTGTCTGTGGTTGATGGTCACATTTCATGTGACCAATTTAAATCAAAAACATTGTGGCACATACACCTTTAAAGCAAGAGTGGAGACAAGGATGATATCTTGATTGTGTTTTACAGTAAGGACATAATATAACTCTCAGTGAAGTCAATGGGAGCTTTTCTAATGACTACAGCGGGAGTTGGAATCAGGACCAAGGACAATACAGTTTTCAGTATGGTAACACCAGGTTTATAAGGAAAAGCAGAGAAATTGGAGTACTATTAATTATAAAATAAGTTGTAAAATCTTTTACAATTCTAAAATTTTAGGAGATAAATTGCAATTTAAATATTGCATCTAACATGTGAAAGTAATCTTAACTTCTCTACATTTCAGATGTAGATTGAATTGCTCACTTTCCTGTCTGCATCCTCTTTTCCCAGCCCACTTAGCACCTAGGGGAGCACTATTTTATTCACACTGCTGACCTGCACATTAGGAGCCAGTTTGTCCTTTCAAGATACTGCCTCAGATCTAAGCCCACTCAGGCCTCTGAACAAGTTTGTTGTATGGTTTGCACAGTAAATAGTAATTATAGTAGTATTTGACTGGTCTATCAGTTAAATGCAGAAGACAGAGCCTATACTATCTAAGCAGATTTTTTATTACTGCTTAGTTCAGAGATGATCAATACTATAGACTGTAAGTGCCCTTTGGGAAATATCTCTGTCCACTGATTGCCATATAAAACCATAGAAGAACAAACATTCATTAATGAACTTATGGCTCAGTTGTGCCATTAAGTCACAGTCCTGATTTAAGGATGATGTAGATCCTCATCACCTCAGGAACAGCTGTAGGAGGAATTGTACCACAGGGAACAACTGTTCCTTCCATAGCCTCATCTCCTCCGCAATGCCCTTTGGAGACACTAGAAGGAAACAGTTCCTTCTTGTGTTCCCCCCATGAAGAGTTTACATTTGTTCTTGGCTCTTACACAAGAAGGGCAGAATGTTCCTTGTACTCTCCTCCACCTCAGTCTATGCACTTCCATGCCACGGCAGGGCAAGGCAAAATCTGTCCCCTTATAGTGATGGCTGAAAATGGTGTGTGTCATGCAGGCACACTGACTTGTCACATTAAAAGGGGTCTGTCTGCATTATGTGCTTCAGTTTCTGAGTTTGCAAATTGACTCGTGGGGCGGGGGGGGGGGAAGAGGTCAGATAACGAAGTGCATATTTTTAGTTTCATAACATAATTTAACCGTCTGCACTCTGCTTTTCCTTCCAAAATAATACCTGGCTACTTTTAACATTGTAATTGTTGCTTAGTATACTAGGTTGGAAATAAAGGTCAAAAGCTAGTAACTTTTTTTCAAGTCTTAAGCAATCTGCTCTCTCACAGTGTAATGACTGGCAGTGCTCTGACTGATATTTCACAATCTCTTTACCTTATCACAAAGCAGCGCACTCACGGCTTTTGTGCCACAGCCGCTGACATTGCTTTCTGCTGTCGCTCACAGTAATGATTCATCTTCTACTGCTGCAATGACTGATAGAAATCACCTGGTATCTGGAAGCCTTTCCCAGTCTGAAAAGGTCAGATCAAGATAGTGGGGTCCAAAAGGGCCAGTGGAACATGTAACATGTGGTATTTAGGTTTCAGGAAAAGGGGAAACAAGGGATCATAAAACAGATTGTGTGCACTAAAAACCAAACTTCCTTTCTATGGCTTCATTCCAGAGTCATATAGTGTACTTTACAAAATATAAAGTGGTATACAGGTGGTAAAACTCCAAAACACCCAGAAACTCAGTTCCAATAAGCACTTGAAATACCAGATATTTATTTTTAATCTTTTGGAAGTTTCCCCATTCTATGATCCCCCACCAGTTGTCTCTGCCCCAAGCTTCTGTTCGGGAGAAGGTGTCTTCTCTTCTGGCAGGAATACTTTCCAAAAGAGGCTTGTAGCCACCACTGCCACTCACGGAAATCTATTAGGATGGGCTCTGGATCCCTCCCAAGGCAAGATCTCCATGTCTGTCACCCAGCTACATGTGTCAAGAAGGTGTAGCTGGGAGTTCTTTTCCTTCCTTACAAGAAAGAGTCTTCATAAGTTGGCTAAAAAAAGCTCTTCTTTCCCACAAGGAGCATTTCCTCTTCTCCCAGAAGTAGCAGGCCATGGTTTTTCAGCCCATACGACACATGCTGGGGGTTCCACGGTAGTATTTAGACAGAGCTTACAGCGTACTGAAAACCTTCAAGGGGCCTCCCATTTGTACATGTATTTTGGGGCACTAATGCAAGGGAAGCCTCAGGAAGGAACAGCAGGAGGCTGAGATGCCACCAGCAAAATGCAAGGAATGGGAGTGAAAGGGCAGAAGAAAAAGTAGAGTGAGATAAAGTTTAACTAAACTCATTTCAAACCTCATGAACAGATTGGGTCCAGTCCAGATTGGTTAATATTTGGGCTTAGCCAGTTTTCCCACATCTAGTATAAAACTGGAAATCAGCTGGCAGCTGTGAGGAGAGACTGGACTGCTATATCTGTTCATAATTCATAACATACACACTTTTTTTTTAAATTCAGTACAGTCCTGCACATAAACTGCACTTTATGTCATCTAGCTCACTTAGTTTTCTTTAAAATTCCTGACCTTTAATGGGTGTGTGTGTGGGGGGGGGGGGGGGGGTTTCTATTTGCCTTTTCTTTAATCAGCACTTTCTGTTCAAGCACAGCTTATTTTAGGGGGGTTGAAAATTTATAGTTATGTACTTTAGAGAGCCATATATTTTCCATTCTCAATGAGCAGCTTCATGTATGCATCATCCCTCCCAACTTGCTCCTCTTGCTGTGTTTTCTGAGCATATATGATCTGTTCCAATTATTCCACTCAGCTACAGAAACAGGGCACACTTCCCACTTGATTCCCATTAGCACTATAGAAGAGAATAATTCCCTAACACGATGAGCATGATGCAGACCTTTTGGACCATGTTATAGTGTTTCAGTAAGTCCAAGGTAAACAATTCATGTACAAACTTGGAACCTTTAGGCTGCATGATAAAAAGAGCCAGCTGCATAAATTGAATCCTGGTTCAGATTCCAGGCCCTACTCTCCTCTGGGTGTATGTGCCATTGTCCGATCTCTACTATAAATAGTTTCACTTTACAGAATCTGAAATTAGTTGAAGTGGGTTCCACTTCCCTCAATACAGATTTCTTGTAGGACAGTACATAATGGTGTTAGTATATCATAGTTCTCTTTATTCCTGTAATGAACAGTATAAACTCCCCCACACCAGAAGAGATCTATAAAAACTATTCTTTTAAAATTGTGGTTAGCAAGTTTCAAATAAGACTGGCCTTTAAGAACACACATGAAAGTGTACAGTGCCCTCTAGTGTTTTCCTACACTCTCGTTTTGGGCTCATGGTTTTGGTTTTTTTACACACTCTCTGATATGTTACTTTTATTATTTTAGTTTCTTTTTGCTGAAGATTGAAAAAATGCCATTTTTGTTAGCATAAAATTATACCATCTCAACATTAAATGAAAGCTGTGGTCTCTGCTTAAGCTCTTAGCAAGGTATGGCCTAGGTAGCTGAAGCAGATTCTCTGTAAAACATTCAGCTGAAATATTGTAACCATAAGGACACTGCAATCAGTCCACCACATTTTTCACATCTCAAGGCAATAGGGTGAAATCCTGGCCCCACTGAAGTCAATGGAAGTTTTGCCATTGACTTAAAATGAGTTAGGATTTCACCCACTGTAAATTAGCATTAGTATCCCTTGCTATGATTTAATAGTTTCTCTTAATCTTTTTTGCAGTTTGTTAACAGAGGCAACTTGCAGTAGTGTGCATGATTAGACATGTCCTTATTTCGTGCTGATTAAAATTTCATCTGCTATCACTGTACTTTCAGTACCTAAGAAAGAAGAAAAAGGTGTAAGTCTTATAGTACAATACAGAAAGAGTACAGTAGAAAACTATTTTACCTTTCCTTTCTTAAAAGGAAATTTGAGATTAAAATTAACCTTTGACCTTTATTTCCACCCTAGTATGTCAAGCAACAATTAAAATGTTAAAAGTAGCCAACTATTGTTTTAGAAGAGGTGGAAGGGAAAGAAAAATGCAGACAGCTGGGAAAAATGCATAACTTTTAGGGAGAAATGATAAGGCAAGATCAATAGCTGGTGTAAAATTGATTTAATGGAACTATCATAGTTGAAACTAGGTGAGGATCTGGTTCCAATCATTAAGCATTTTCATTAAAAAGAATGTTTAAGGTCATGAATTGGAATATAATTTAGTAAGTCCTCTTTAGTCATCAATACTTTTTCTTTAAATAAAGCATTTGCTGTATGATTGTGCCATAAAGTTTCCGATTTAGAAGACTAACAACATTTATGTAAAGCACATTTAAACTTGATCATGCTGCATCATGATCAAAGCAAACAGCATTGAATGTTGATGTCCAGAAATATAGTTTGCTATGTTACTAAAATATTTATTTAACATTTCCTAGTTTTCCCCTCCTCTCTCTTCCAAACAAACTAACATAGTTTATTCAGTTTCTTCAGAGGAGATGCAACTGTTGTGATGTTGTGTTTCATTGTAACCCATCTGCTGCTTAGGCCAGATATGCATTTTCTGGATGCAATCTGTTGGTTCCCAATGGTTTACTACATGGTGGGCTCTATTGACAAGTAGGTAAAATAATCCTCAGAACTTTAAACATTGTAGTGTTCAGTGGTTTGTCATGTGCTGTGCTTTGTAACTGCATGTTTAAGTGTGGTGACAGTACTTGAAAAATATCCCTGCATGCATGGTTTGTGTCATGGTGCTGTAATTTGGAATTTCAGATTTCTGCCAAAGGATCTCAATCACTCAAAAATGAGTCACTATCTGGTTTTGCTTTATATAGTACATTGGCAGATCTGGCAGTCTTTTTAAACGCTTTCTTTGGTGTTGACTCTCTAGGTGAAATGGGCCCTAGGGCTAGGCTTTTTAAAAACAGGAATGAGCCTAAAGTTACTCCCCCCAATCCCCATTAAAGTGCAAATAAAATTACCAAATTGTCAAAAATGCTGAGCACCCAACAGCCCCCACTGAGTTCTAGTCTAACCCTACATGAAACCGCCATATTTTTGCTCCTACTTGTTGGCTGGGATTGTTAACGTTTGTTATGAGATCTAGACACACTAATAGTAACTTACTTCTAAAACCGCTGGACTGCTTTGAAAATATCACCTACTACTTCTACCTAGCCCTTTACTATTACATATTTATAAAATAGTATCTAGATTTAATGGCATCACTGATTGAAGAGTCAGGCTAGAACTCAGACTAGAAGAGACTCTTTCATTAGATTTTCAGTATATTCCTGTTTCTAAACAGTCATCACTAAAGCAAAAAAATTAGCTCTAATAGAGGGCCCAATCCTGAGACATCTGGGCATCTACAATACTTATTCTGTGAAATATTGGTACTATGGAAGTCGCGGGGGGGGGGATTTGCAATAGACTACATTGGCACAATTTCACCTATCAATTTCAAAAGCAGTTCTAGCTGTTCAGCATGTCTCAGGATCAAGCCTATTGTAAATGGAGACGTATATACTTGGAAATGTACCTTAGTGACAGACAACACAAACTGTCATTCATAATACATTGATAGAAGTTATAATTTTTAGGATACGCCTACACATCCTACAGCAGAGATCCTCCCAGCTCACATCAGAAGAAAAGCCCAAGTTCTAGCCTGAGTTGCAGCTTCACAGTGATGGCTACAAAGCTATTTTTAGAGCATCAGTGCGAGCGCCCTGCTAACCCAAACCTGTCCACCTAGGCTGGGAGGCTTACTGCTGGTGGCTGTGTAGACATAGCCTTAAAATGCATTGCATTCCAGCCTTCAAAAACAACAAAGAAAGGTCTTGGCACGTAATTATATTTAGCAGCATCTTGTCACCTTTGATTTGTGATCATTCAGAAATTATAAAAAATAATCACAGAAACTGAATAGTTGATTTAGCTACAATTAAGCTAGGTAATTAAAAACATGGAGTTTTCAAACTGTTTTATGCACCACAAAAAAAGTTAAACTTTACTACTATTTGTTGGGACTACTTCGGAAAGGAATACATTATATCACCCTGTAAGAAATGTCATGTTATCTTCCTTGTTGAGTGGTTCACATCAGTTTTGGAATTTATTGAATACAAAACAAGTTTGCAGATATTGAAACTAGTGGTAATATGATGTATTCTGCAGTTTACACTAATTGTAGTGTAGAGATGTTTCATTTATAGGACAGTGCAAATTTCTCTGCAGGTGAAGTGTAAAGTAACACTGACATACATTTATGTTCTATAATCTGTCAGCTGACTTGTCAGTTTATAAATTATGTCCAGTGTTTTAAATGATTGGTTTGCACATAAGCATTTAGAAACAAAGAAGTTACATATTGAAGTGAAAATCAATAAATTCTAGTTCATACTCACAATGTAATATATGCGAACTTCATTTTTCATGCGCTGCTGACTGTTCCAAAAATACCCCCACTATTTACTGTACAGTTTGCAGTTCAGTAGTCAATTATTTGCTTTGATCTGTTTGTGGCTAAGTGCAAGTGTTGGCTATTTCCTTGATGTGTTTAATGACCATAGTGGTCCTGTCTAGTTGTACTATACTATATCATCATATATTTTGTCTGGCTATACTAAAAGGAGGACAGGAGACACTTGATATGAATTTAATCAGGCCACGACTTTATATTAGAGGTCTGGGACTACCTGGCAGATAAAGTGTACAGTACAGGCTACTCCATATTTTTTCAAATAACTACCTGGGGCTTCCACCAGCCCCCTTTGTTTTCCATCCAGGTCCCCCAGCCAACCCATGGCTTGGACCTTACTGTCCACCCCCTCTCATAAGAGTGTTAAGGTAGGCTGTAAGAAAGGGGAGTTGGCTTCCTTCCGTACCAATCATAGGAGCCCCAACTGCCCCCTTTCTGTTCCTTTAACCAGCACCTCCTTTTAAGTCCTTTACCTGGCCATTTATATGGTCACTGGATGCCTTCCCTATGGAGTACCTACACTGGACATCCACCCCACACTTACACAATAAGTTGCGACCTACCACCATAGCCTACCACCTTTTGTGCTCATCATAATAGGTCTTCCCTGACACCGGCTGTGGAGAAGGCAAAAAAACCCACGCTCACTCCACTGAAGCCAATATGGTGGTAAGGGAAAAATTCCTTCCCAGCCCCCCTAAAAAAGGGGTGACTAGCGCAATGTCCACAGCAGGCCCTAACCAAACCTGATATTTACACCTCCAGGAGAGGAAGGGTGGGTACTGCCTTGTCTACTGCATGGAGAAAGAGCTTCCAACGCCAGGCCTTGCACCGTTAAAGCCTTCTGCCCCTTACATTCCCCGGGGGGCGAGTCAGCACCACAAAGCTTTTTCTACCTTTTTGCAGCCCTTTCTGACCTTCCCCCCCGCATAAAGCACTGCTACCTTCCAGCAGCAAGCCTGGCCAATGCTTCCCTTACTTAAAGGTGTGGTGCGGTCATTGCTGGTGTTGTGCATGTACATTATACTTCTTTTTTTACATACTGTACAAGATCATATTAACTTCACAAAAATCAAATCCAACTAAATGTTAAGCAAAAAATCAATACTCCAAGAACAGTTCACAAAATGTGGATACCCCAATACCTTATCCCAACCCTTCTTCTTTATTCCATGATATTTATACATTTTATAAAATGTTAACACATAGGACACTGCAGCTTTCCACAGGAAATCATAATCTAAATGGGACATTTAAGTGGCCTATTAAAGAGTACATGGTTTATAAATTAGAGAGGCTCACCTGCATAAATATCTTCTAAACTGTTTTAAAAAACTGCATGTATGTAAAAAATACACAAAAGTCAAAGGAAAATCATAACAAATGCTCATTTAAGGCTTGATTTTGATATCTGCTTGACCCCCAATCCAGCATAGCCTTAGACACAAATCCTGCAAAGATTTAAGCGTGTGCGAAGTCTCACTGAATTTAAACATGTGCTTAGTGCTTTGCTGGACTGAAACTACACTGTCCTCTTCAAACAGGACTATACTAATGCTAACAAGGAACCTTTCAGTTCACACCCACAGCAACCAACTGGGGAATTACAGTGCAGCACTTTGGTGCACACTGCTATTCACACCCCATAGTCTAAACAGTGGTGTAGTGTAGACAAGCCATTAGACTTGTACCAAAACCTTTGAAATGGATTTTTCATCTCAATACATGATTTAAATGTGCACACTCAGTGGAAGAAAGTGGTTTAAGCAGTAATGTTAAAGCAGAATTTCCTTTAAACTAACATTTTCTCTGCATTTTTTGGGATTGGTCCTGCTTTGAGCAGGGGGTTGGACTAGATGACCTCCTGAGGTCCCTTCCAACCCTTATATTCTATGATTCTATGATTTACACCCTACAGCAAGATTCTGCTATTTGACAAAAAGGATGGTACGCATACAAACGTGAATGAGCATAGGCACCTAAAAGATCAATTGTATTAGAGTTATGACTGAAGAGGTAGAGAAATATTGGGGCATATACCCCGTTGGGGTAAACTGTCATCAAAATAATGGAGCTATGATCATTTCGTACCATCTGAGGATGTTCCCTGTTAATTTTAATTTCATATTCACTACTCTGTGGTTTTCCATGAGAGACATCCAGAGAAATGATCAAAAGAAAATTCACAGCCTGGCTGAGCTTCATCAAAATAGGGCCTCAATTAGCAGAAGTTTGTTCTACAATTTTCCATATAAAGAAAAGGAGTACTTGTGGTACCTTAGAGACTAACACATTTATTTGAGCATAAGCTTTCATGAGCTACAGCTTGCATCCGATGAAGTGAGCTGTAGCTCACAAAAGCTTATGCTCAAATAAATTTGTTAGTCTCTAAGGTGCCACAAGTCCTCCTTTTCTTTTTGCGAATACAGACTAACACGGCTGCTACTCTGAAACCTGTCAATTTTCCATATGTAAGTGATGTGTAATATGTACAGCCATATAGGCTATGGATAAGGGTTGTGTAGGAAAACCATTTGAGATTAAGAAAGGCATAATTAGGATAATAGATATCTTTGATAAGGGAATATTCCTAATTTTTTGTTTTTAATAATTAGGAAGAAAGTCAGATATTCCAAATAGCCATTGCTGTCATTTTTAAAAAGAGCTTAGACATTATTTTAATGTAATAGTAGGAAGTTAATTAAAAGATTCTAAACTTATTCAGCTTTGGAAAGTAGAATAATTGAGATCTTGTCAGAGTATAAAAGTTTTTTTGTTATGTGTAGTTTTTTATTGGTAGTCACAAGGGCTATATTTTCAAAGGTCAGCACAATGGTAGAATGCAGAATAAAATGTAGTTTGCTAAGAGAAAGATTAGAGTTTGATATATGAGCAGGTTAAATGCATACCAATAAATACTAAATATAGAATGGTATTAAATTTCATCACCAACTATACATCACTCCAAAACCAATTAATATAGAACATGTAGCTATGTACTAAATGTGAAAATCAAGACTGGAAATTTCATAGGACTGGGTAGGAAATGGTTTTCTTGTCCAACGAGAACTTTGAAATTCAAAAAAAAATTCCAATCCCTGTTAGGATGAAAAGTCAAGGCCTCAATTTTTTGTGAACTGAAAATCTGAAAAAAATAATTCGGTCACATCAATCAAAACATTTTGTTTCAATTTCAAGTTGTTTCAATTTTGACATTAATTTATAGTGGAGTATTAAAAAGATTTTATTTTGCAAGGTAGGTTGTTTCAAACAAAAATAATTTATGTTCCATTTCAAAAAGTGTTAAACATGGCATTCCAACAATTTTGAAACATTTTCAAAAACATTGAAGTGGAAAATTTGTCAAAACTGAGCTTTTCATACAAATGATTTTGGTTTCATCAAATTAGAATTTTCTGATAAAAACTGTTTCACTGGAAAAAAAATCACGCCCAGCAGTAGATTTTTATGCATTTAGGTCTTAATGCAACTGCTGTTAAAGACAATTGAAAGACTATTTGCTTCACTGGAAACTGGTTGGGATAAATGGGGTGAAAGAGCAGAAACACAGTCTAGTTTTAGACAGAAGATCAAATCTATGGAATGGTTGCTAGTTATGCTTACATTTTAACTAGTTTTGCAGAAAATGTTTTGAGCAGTCATCAAACACAAATGGAAGTTGTATTGTCACATGGGTAGTAAGAACATGAATAAGACTATGAGGGAAAAAAGGAATCATCTCTTTATTACTTAATATCATCACTGGTCAACATTTTCCATCAAAACTGTTTAGTTTTTCCACAAAGTGTCTGCTTTCTCTTAAAAAAATCAGTTTAATCAAACCCCCAAATTGGAATATTTTCTTCTGTGGGCGGGGCTTCATGGCTAGACTACATCTCCCATGATGCTCCATGGCCAGAGACTTCCCCTGATTCGCCATCTTTTCTCTCTCTCCAAGAAGAAAGATAAAAAGGTATTATGGGAGATTTAGTCTGACCAGGGAGCCCAGCCCATAGAAGAGAATGGAGCAGGCAACCAAGCTACAATTCCCATTGGTTTTCTGCCAAAATATTTCAGTATTTGAATTTTGACCATAAAAGTTAAGTTTTCTACAGTATGGGATTCACCTTTGTCCAGCTTGTCCTCGTCCATCCCTCCATGAATGCAAGTCGACACCACACCAGTCTATTATATTGCAAGCACATTCTTTCCATTTCTGGCCAAAGACTTTTGTCATGGGATCGGCCCAGTGCGTTTTCGGTCTGCCCAGTGGTCGCTTTTGGTCTCTGGGGATCCAGTTACTGAGGTGGGTTGTCCACCTATTGTCTTGCCTATGGGATTTGGAGGAACAAACAAAACACACCACAGAATGTTTTTTGACCAACTCTAATTAATTCAGAAACATTTAAGATGATATGGCTGATTTTTATTTATAACTCTTTTAGTTATTTTTTAAATGTAGTTCTTTGTAAGTATTTATTTAATCCACTCAAGGCTGAATACTGGTTAAGTTCAAGGCTCCCAGAATTGACCCAATGCCTATTGGCCCCAAACTAAGCATACTTGTCAGTCTGAAATATACTGGTATCCCAAGCCATATCCTCCCCAGTTTAAGGAAATATTTTGAACAGATTTAGACTGCTGCCCTCACTGCAACATATAAAAGAAAGATAGCCTCACATATCCTCTAGGCTGTCTCCTCAACTCAATCTTTGGGCTATAGCCTACAGCTAATGAGCTTCAAAAAGGAGCAAAAGCATTTAAAATAGGCCCTGTAGTATTAGCCTAATCTAATACCCTTCATGGCTTGGGACTGAAGGCCTCAGTCTACCACTTGTGGGGTCCCCCCTTAGGTGGGTTATCCCCTACTTGCCAGGCCAACCATCCCCCATCACTGTCCTCTGTTGTTCTACTAAATGAATACTGGATAGCACCCCTCAAATCAGTTTATGCACCCCACCATCAATAAATTAATGTTTGGCTGTCTCCCCACCAGCAAGTCATCTTTCTTGGGCTCTACATCTTTGCAGGGCTCTATCATTACTGCTGCTCCTGCTTCTCCACTAGTGTACAGAAGGCTCACAATATCTCAGCTTCTTAGTCTAAAACCTTGGCCTTCTGTGCTTCTCACTTCCTCTCTCCCCTACTCTTAAAGGAACAGTAGCTCAAGAGACTTATGTCTCCTTCCTTCCTCCCATCCTTTTTTTAAAAGTATAGCATCTAAGGCCATTCTAGCCCCTTTGACAAGGAGTGCAATGTCTCCAGCCAGTCTGCTCCCACACACCTGATTTCCCCGTTTCTAAATCAATTAGACCTTGTCTCCACCTTTTTTTTCAGTAAGGTTCAAATTTGAGCCTATATGGTTATATCAGTATAACTTGCCACATAGACACTCTTATTCCCATATGAGAGTATCCTTGGGGGGAGAGGGGGTATACTGGTATAAATTATCACTGTAACTGGTAAAACTTTCCCATGTAGACAGACTCTTAGTAGTGCACGGGTTGCTTGTTTCCTTCCCTTTCAGCCCATTAAAGGACCAGTGGTGCTTGGGCCAGTGTTTCTGTCATCTCCCCTCATCTTTAGTGAAAGTAACAGTGTTGGCTTAGCCTTCTTGCCAAGGGAAAAAAATCTATTTAAGAGAAAAAAGAATGAGACACACAAAACACCTAGGTGCAAGAGGTGGTGCACCTGGATGGCTGAGGAGAACCTTCTTTATGTTATGAGGAGAGCTGGGGTAGCAGGTCAGCAACTATACCACCATCCTGGAGAAGAGGTTCTGGGCTTAGTTTAAATGGATTTATTGGGGAGAAGAGCATAAAATGAGGTGGTGGTTCAGTATTTATTAAATGGGACAGAAGAGTGTATAAATTAATTGGATTTTCAAGACCTGTTTCTATTTCTAGATGTGTGTTTTATACAGTGCATTTTAGTTAAGGAAAAAAATCAGCAGCTAAATTTTGTTCCTCCTTCATTCAAGGTTAACTATGCACAACAAACTCACAAATACATTTTATGTTTTCTTGTAAACACTTGTGGATCTAAAAATTTTGGGGTGTATATTCAAAATTTTGAAACCATGTTTTCTAGTGAATGTGTATCAGTATGAATTTTGGTTTGTCTTTTTCCAAGAGACATTGGCCTTATCCCTTGGGCTGGAAGAGGGAATCCTTTGGCAGTTCTTGCTACATAAATTTGTGTGGGAAGCTATGCTCAGAAAGTAACTTGATTCCTGCTTTTGCCTGTGTAATGCTCTACATGTTTGCAGGACTCTTATCATTGCTGTTGCTTCTACTTCTCCACTAGTGTACAGAAAGCTCACAATATCTCAGCTTCTTATTCTAAAACCTTGGCCTTCTGTGCGTCTCACTTCCTCTATCCCCTACCCTTAAAGGAACAGTAGCTCAAGAGACTTCTGGAAAGCTACTCTTGTGCAAAAGTGATCCTTCAGTTTGAGAGAGAATAGGGAGCCAGTGAGGGACTATGAGGTGAGAAGCTAGAAAATCAACATATCCGACTGCCTCTGGGTGAAGGCCCTTGATATATGAAAAGGTCCTTTTGTGTAGGAGGTAAGACACTTATATGAAACAGGTAATGACAATGCAATGAGTTGTGGAAGACCTTGTTGGAGAAGGGGAATTGATACATATACACATGCACAGTGTAGTGTAATTTTACCAACGTTCTTTTAGTGAATGGAGAAGGGCAAGCGATCCTCGGCAATCTATCAGCAGGATTCTAATTTTACTTCAAAGAACATTAAAATTATTATCCATATTGTCTCTGTTCTACCAAAACACTTACATGAAGCTGATAGTTAAAATGCATTCAGAGACCACCACCAAGTGGTAGGAATCAAATATAAGATTGATGAGCTCCCAGGATATGTTACAGTTGAGTTTTTCTAACTCATACGTATCCTGCCATGTATTTATATTGGTTTTTAATTCTGTTCCTCTTTACAACAGCCTAGATGATTTGCTAAGATGTGGGGTGACCTTTGCTGCCAACATGGTGGTTGTGGACAAGGAAAGTACTATGAGTGCTGAGGAAGACTATATGGCAGATGCCAAGACTATTGTAAATGTACAAACTCTCTTTAGGTAAGTCATTTTGTAACTAACCCATACAGCTATGTTAAGCATGAAATATTTTAGAATTCTTTTTGTGGAGGGGGAGATGGAAGTGTGGCTTCTCAACCATTTCTCTTACCTCCATTTTTAAATTAAACACCACTTTATATGATCAAGCAAAAGTCATTGCTGCTTCACGGTACTATACTCAGGTCTCTTGGGATGTGGAAGGGTAAGACTCCAGCTCTCAGATATGACTCCTCACATTCCAATATGGCCACTTGCTACTTCTCCAGAGTCTTTTGAAGGCATCTGAGTAGTCTGTGGGAAGGGAAAGAAGGCCAGTCAGCCACGCCTGGAAGACTTGAGATAGAGGAAATTCACTGGACCTTTGCCTTAATAAACATCTTGTGATAAGGTCATAATCCTAAACTCATTACAGACAGTGGGTGCTGTGAGAGAAAGAGGACTACAAATTAGGTGAGTGAAGGACTGATGTCCAGTAACTTGGATAGTTGTTCAGATTTTGAACCAAACTAGAATTTTGCCCCTTTTGAGAGGTAGCTGCCCCTAATTATGGTCTGTGTTACAGGTCACAAAGTTCCAGGGGACAGGGAGGGAAAATCTGAATCTAAATATTGAAGAAAAACAGGTTCTCTTTCACAGTTGGAATTACATAAACCATTCACTCATTGCTTGCAAATGATCCTGTGTATGTGGTCATAAGAGTTACTTTGTCTTTCTCTATGTCTAATAATTAGAAGGGACTAAAGTGTTCAAAGTAGTACTTTAAATTGGTTCTCTTAATAAGTTTTAATTAACAATATACCATAGCTAAGTCCTATCTTTATCATTTTCATGTTCTTTTCCATCTGACCTGCTCCTGGTAAAAGGTCTATGATTACAGCAAATTAACAGAAGTAGTCAGACATGTTCCCACTATAGCAGGCTCTCTTCCCTTTTGTCATAGTGTCATCCATACCATCTGGATTAACTGTGAAGAGAACACTTGCCAATATTTCCATTACTGATTATTAGGTCCCACTAATTGTTTTCCCTTGTAGAAGAACAAATGCCTCTTAGCTCATTTGGTAGATCAGTACAGTTCCCAGTAAAGCACTAAACCCTCTCTCTGAGCACAGATTTTTAGCAGCAGGGCAGACTGTTCAAAGGATGCAAAAGAAATCAGAACAAAACCTTTCTTGCTTTAGCCAGAAAAGAGACTCACACAGCTCACAAAGAGGAGAAAAAATGTCTCTTTAAAAAGTATTGCTCAAAGTCAGAAAAAGTAGAAAGAGACTAAGGAGATGGTGCTCTGATGAAGAATAAAATGGGTTTCAGCTAAGGTCTGGTTTTATACCCACTCATGCCTAAGATCCTGGTTGGAATTCAATGGCATCTCTTTAAGATCCTGATTCAGCAAGGCAACTAAGCAGGCACTTAGCGTTAAGGATATGAATAGCCTATTGGCTACAATAGCACTACTCACATGCTCAAAGATAATATGTACTTGAGTGCCTTGCCAAATCATGGCCTAGAGCCCTAAAATGAGGAAATGATTAATTCCAAACACATTTTTGCCAGGGTAGCACAGTTTAACTATTAGACCTTCAGTCCTTCACCTTAATAAGAATTCAGTATCCCTTCAAATGAATTCCAAGGGAGTTTTGACACAGTAGAAATTGTAGGATTGGGCCCTTCATTTCAACAAGTCCATAGTGTGTTGAAATTTCATTTGCTAATATTGTAGAAGCTGCACTCCATCTCATGATGAAACAAAACATTTCGGGTGAGAAATTGTATGAAACTGACAGCGAAACAAGGAAATAAAGAGGGGGGATTTCATTCTTCAGTAGTCTTTGTTTTGTGAAAGGTTTTTTCTTTTGAAATTTCAGCCAGAATAGATGAGGCCGTTTCTATGAATGAGACTAGGGAAAAATAAGTTTTGTTTTGTTTTTTTTAAATAGGGCAAAACAAGGCGAGACCTTTCTTGAACAAGTCTAGCACTCCATTCTTTGGAACAGGGAGTTCAAATGTAGGTGGGAGTGGCCTTTGTGGGAGGGGAGGCCTTTTGCCACCACATGAAAACCCTCTAGAATCCAAGTTATAAACTCTTGAAAAAATAAAGGTTGCACATGCTCAAAGAGGTCTTACATTTTAGTAGCTATATTCACAGAGATTCAGTTTGCACAGAGTCTATTCCAGCCCAGGGCTGAGAAGGACTTCCCCTGCAATTGTAGCTCTGAGCTGTTTTGGGCCATACCAAGTCTGGACCAGGCATCTGTGACATACCAGAGTACAATCCAGACTAATGAGCAGCTGTGTCACCGTTGCCCTGCAAACTTAGGTGCCTTACAATGCCTTCTTGAAGTAACTCCCACCTGCGCTGGTCACAAACATCCTTCCACCATGCAAGTCATACCCTCTGTGTATGTGTGTAACTGCAGCCTGCCAGTCACACCTGGGTTAAACTATCATGGTCACCTGTCTAGGTTATATTTCAGGATGACCCCAGCACACCCTCACTCTTAGATTTCCCCCCAGAAATATATGTCCTATACTTCCCAGCCTTCTGAACAATACAAATTATATCAAGCCCATTATTTCTTTAAATAAATAATATGAATGGAACTTGACACCCACCCAACGGAATTTCCAGATACTCTAGTTTAGACACACTGGGTTGGACAAAACAATAAAACAAGTTTAGTAACTACAAAGGATAGATTTTAAGTGTGTACAAGTACAGCGGCATAAGGGTCAGAAATGGTTGCAAGAAAATTAAAGTTAAAATACAAGTGGTGCCTCAGTTAAACTATGTTAAATTCAAAGCAAAAGTTCTCACCACACGCTTTCAGCAGTCTTACTGACCCAACTTCTTAGGACAGGATTCTTCTCCTAGAATCCAACTGTCACTTCAGAACAGGAGGAGGAGATTAGGACAAGGAATGAGAAACAGGGCAGAAGAGACTGTGGCCAGCAAAGGACACTCCCCTCCAGACCCTAGAATAGAACCCAAGATTCCAGAGTCTCACCATTCCCCTGGTTTAAGTGAATATCTGTGAAATCCCCTGGCAAAGTGTCCCATCCCTGTCTAGGGCTGGTCCACATAGAGGATGGCAACCTACTACTGCTAGAATTTAGTCTCTTAGCTCAAGCGCCAGAGGTGAGGGTGATGGATCCACTGATGAACCATGTGGGTGTCAACGCATGCTTTAAAAAAGCAACAAACTAGAAAATTACACAAAAAATGTTCAGAGAACATTAAGGTTTCAAAGTCAAGTACTCAAAAGTTAGGAAAAGCCATAATTAAGTTTTGCTCTGCAGATATGTACAATGGTTCTATGTCTGTTAACAGCTTGCACCATGTTTTCACTAGATGGCAACATTAGCTCATATCTGAAGCATAACTATTATAAAAATATAGAATTACAGGAAAGCCAAAAGAGGAATGGGATTTTCTTTGTGTTTTTGACCAAGTTAGAAAAGAAAAAATAGGTTTTAAAATGAAATATTTACCCATAACTAGATTTTCAGAATGCTTTCACAATCTTTCACCAGTAGTATTTTGTAAAACAAATGACAGAGGAATGGAAGAGACTAGTTTCCACTTTGTGCACCAACATTAAAGCAGAAAGGATGTAAAAAGATGTATCAAATATTGATGAGGTATAATATATAGACAATTTTTTACGAGTGAAAATGCACAGCATTTACATCAGAGGTTTACATTCTTCATAGAATTTTGTAAGGAGTTTCATAGGGCTAAATATTAGGGCAATTACTTTAACAGTTTTATTAATGATTTTAGACCAAGCTAGAGCACATATTGTAAGGTCATTACATTTGCAGATGATAGCAAATTTAGAGGCATAATTATGGGTGGAGGGGGTGGGTGAAGATTGCCTAATCTAGATTATCCTATAAAATAGTTAAGATGTTTAGTGTTGGAACAGGCTATTCAATACATGTAAGCACAAAGTGATATTCTTTAGCAGAAATAATGCCCAAATAAAGTATATTCAGAAAAGTTTTCAGTGGGTTAATATGATGGGGAAAAGGGTTCTATGTATAAATAATCTGAACAGCATGTGAGAGGGAGAACAATCCAGATTGGGTTCCAGTAAACATGAGTCTACTTTTGAGATTTGCTTTGTAATAAAAAAAGCAGCAAATTGTTACCTGAGTTTTTCATGGCAACATTATAAAACGATTTTAAAGCATTGAAGTATTTTGTTAAAATATGTAGTTCATGACGACAATGGTCTTTGCATCTTTGATTCAATCGTACTTTTAAAGACTGAGTAAAGTGAATATATAGTAGAAACTAAGTCACAGTGAATGGGATCATTCAAAAAAAAAATTAGAGACCATTCTCTAAATGGAATCAATACTTTGACCTCAGTAAGGTAAAATATTACTGTTGAGCCTAGGTTGTTGATTCTTATGAAAGCTTTCTGACATTGCTCAGTGTTTTACAATGATTAATAATCTTGCTCAGTTTAAAGTTGCCTTCCTCCTCAGACGATGAATGTGCTGTTTATAACATATTTGTTTATTTGTTGAAAGCAAGAAGTTGCACCATACCAATTAAAACTTTGGCACACCACCACTTTGACTCAATTAAAGCTCAAAAGGGAGTAAGAAAGTATGTATCAGTCTCACTGAATGTAATATGAATCTTTAATACTTTGGATGCAAAAGAACAAGCTTAGCTTAGTTTTGAAGTATAAATAAAATGTACTGGCTTTGGGCAATGTATAGGTGGCCCAAAAGGCCTTTTTCCCATTTCATCCTACCAGTTGAAGTCATCGAAGATTCTGCACTGATGTGTTAGTCTTGGGGTGAAATGCAGGGCCTCCTCAGTGGAGGCTTTCTTTACTCTAGAATGGGCTTCCCTTATTCATTTGGCAAGTCTAACTGACCCTGAGCATATATTTTAAGGCCTATCAGTTGTTTGGCTATACTAAAAATGGACAAGAGACACTTGATATGGATTTAATCAGGCCACAACTTCATTATTAGATGTC